CATGGGAGGTTCGACGACTCATCCCATTTTGTCCTGCCCATAACGGTTTGTTTTGCTCGCTTCAAGCAAATCCATCTCCAGAAATTGTTTACGGGCAAAGATTCAATCGTTTGAAGTCACTGGCTGCAGTTGTCTTTCTAAGCTACTTCACAGCGAGTGAAAAGGAAAATTTGCGTACTGGAAGAAAACAAAGCTATGTAATTAAAAATGAAAAAAGGAGAAAACTCTGACTATAATTACTTGAGCAACAGAAAAATGATCTAAGTAGTCTTTCCTTCTCGAGTAAACTTTTGGCCCTCTATAGTTCCGAGAAAGTTTGTAGCGCACAAGTTTGTTCACTCGCATGCGTTAATTAGCTTTACCGTTCTTTGACTGAAGACAAGGATAAAGCTGGTTCTGCAAAGGTAAATAAATCTGGGCATGTAAAAAAGTAACCGTAACTATTAATAACAGAATACAAGCGGGATCGATTTAATTCAGCCCGGCGAAAGAATGCGAAGCACTGGACACAAAATCAACTCACAAATGGAATGCACAATTATCAGAAAAATACAAACCTCTTTAAAAATGTTTAAAACGTTTTAATCCATTTCAGACTGACGGAATGATCAGTTTTTACTCTAACATTGGTTGCTCTGAATCCAAAGTAATTTTCAAGTGACTAAAAAGCAACAACAACAACAAAAACAAAAACAAATAAAAAGGCTTAATACAAGGAGAAAAAGTTCGCACCTCGTGTATTTTATTCAGTCTCAGTCAGAACTCACACAGAACGACACAAAAAAACGAAGTCAACAAACAGAAAAGCCCGCCTTGAGTCTGCAATAAGGGATGCTCAGAAGCTTGCGCGCAGAACGTTTTTCAGCCCTGAAGACCAACATTGACGTCACGTAGTCTCCAGTCCTTCGCGCGGCAATTTCAGAAACGTTTTCGTCAAGTCTTTGGAAATGCTCAGATTTTGCTCTTTTATCTTTCTTTAAAGGCTTGGGAAAAAAATTTTTCCCAAATCTCATTTAGGATGGTTCTTTTTAGTGTTTGGTGAAGGTAAAGCGACAAAGAAAATATTTGAATTTTTTGGTTTATTTGACCTTTGAAGCTGAAATCTTGTTTCAGGTTGATTAAACTCTTGGTGGCCTAATGCAATACTCTCTAAGGCGTCAACTGACTCAAGTTCCTTTCAACAAAGAGTAGAGGGCTTAGGACAGCGCTGATTTTAAACCACGCAACAACAGTTTTAAGAACCTATTTGCACCTGAATACATCTGATATTGAGCGACGCCTACATCAGCAGTCAGTCCCGAATTTATCCGACCGAAATAACTGCAAATAAAATCTGACGAATTAGTAGCATAGAAAAAGCGTATTAGAGAAACCCTCTATGGAATATCTTTTAAATGAAAATGTCACGGAAATATTTTACTCCTGACGTTGTGGACACGCTTTTCCGTTCATATTTAAAGGATGTAAGACGTAACTGGATGCATTTCTGCAGCTGTGGACATTCAGAGCCATTACTGATATCAATGTACTTTTACAGAGCCGTAAAAGTTATTTACCGTGATGAACATTGCCGACTAAGTCTCCTTTTTTTCTTACCTCAATTGCGTCTCTGTTTTTGTTATTGTTGGTTTTTAATTTTTATTTTTTGTTTTGGCGTTCCCAGGGGGGCATTGCGATGCCATCATAGCTATAGCGCGAAGATGAATATATTGCCTCCGTGTTTTCTGCACGTACTGAAAATCTGACGTGATCAGACCCAAGTGACCCTTAGCTAAAGCCGCGCCACAGTCATAGAAGGAATACAATATTTAAAAGCAAAGCCCCGTACTCCCAAAATCAAGGAAGAAGCTCGCGTCAAGGCCGATTCGCAATTCGTGAATTAAGTGAAGCGCAGTTTTAAAATGCCAGCCCTTATAGAAATTACACAATGAAAAAAGTACGGTCTTTTTTTAAGTTACTTTTTGGTCAATTTGCTGTCAGCATTTAGACTTTGAGTAACGTTTCCAAGGATTGCGTGATAAGTAATTCAGTTGTGTCAGGACACTGTTAAAAGTAGCCCTTTGTTCAGTATTCCCGCCAATTACACGTCCTTTTCCCGCGATGGACCTTTCGTTAAAAAAAAAATCGCAAAGTAAATAAGAAAATTATATGCTTTGCGCGATGGGCAACCTTTGCCAAGTATAAATATAAAAATTCGCATATGACATGAGTGCAAAAATATTTCCCTTCGGTTTAAGGTGCAGAGGGGTTAATAAATAGAGAAAACACCCTGACAAAGTGTACAGGATACAAAGCTAAAAAACGTTGACAGACTGAAAAAAGTTCAAAGCAATGCTTTTCACTGATTGAACTTTTTTTGTAGATAACATCTCCGTGGTAGCAAAACTTCGTTCACTTTAATTTACAATCAATTTCTCAACAGAAAAACATAACGCTGAATGCTAAAGCAGGGACGCGAAGCTATTTTATTTCTGTTCTTATTTAAATTTTGTTGTTTGTTTTTAAATTCCCAAAAGTTTGGGTTTAAATCCCATTAAAAACTGATACGTGCAAGAAAATGTGCATTGAAGTGGAAAGCAGACTAATAAGCTAAATCATAGTTATTAGAGGAGACTGGTTATGAAAAGCGGCAAACATCAATGATAAAAACAACAGTGCTGCAGTTTATGTTCAAAGCACCGTGAAAGTGCACAATCCTTTGTTTTCTGTTGGCAAATTGTTACGGAATAAATTAATGCAACGTTTTTATTGGTCAATACAATCAAAATGATAGGAATTCTTTTGAACGTTGTGCACTTTCAGGTCCACAAAAACATATAACAAAGGAGTCTGACGGGTTTCATAACCATTCCACTCAATTAACTATGGCTAAATGCAGTGATGCAGACAAATCGACGCTTACTTTTCAGCTGGCTTCAGACACATTCTGGACAGTCGTTCCAACCTCTTGGAGCAAGCTCGTCTTTTCAGGCGACTTTTATTTCAAAACAGCCAACACGACCTGAGAAACTGTCTTAAAGCCTGAACTATGACTTTCAAGCTACAGATTTTTCTGTTGTTAATGATAAAAACCTTGAGGTATGTACGGCTTGTTTTGTTTTTTGTTTTTTTTTAACTACACCTCGTTCGTTAGCTTTCAGCAAAATCACTAGGCAGCTGTCTAGTATTAAAGTGGCTTTTTTCGGTGGTGTCGACGGTTACCGTTCGATTCTCCCACGAGTCGTTTCGCAAACGTCTCACGAGCGCTGCGCTTTATCCATGGTATAATTTTATTTTCCTGTGTTTCGACGTCATTAACATTTATTCCCATACCCAGAAACAAAGGGAAATACAATTTAAACCAAGGATGAAATTAAACCAAAACTGTTATATACTTCGTTTTCTCAGCCATACTACCAAAAAGTGCGATGCGCTGCTGATCAGGCGAAACAGTTACGGAAATGACATAAAACGTACGCGAATCGGCTTTACACGTTGGCGAACAGGGCGTTGGCGAAACGACCATAAGCCGTGTCGACTGGTTTCCGCCACCTAGTTCATATCAGAAGTTGTTGTTGTTAATAAAACCGTGGAAAGATAGATAGATAGATATATCTCAATAGATTGAGATATTCACCAAACTAGCTGTCAGGCTAGAGTCAATTGTTTGCAGACACCCTAGTGGTAGTGTGCCCTCGGCAACGTTGATCGACCTTTGTGGAATTCCACAAGTTGCCTTAATTTTACTTGATTATTCATTCATTAAGTGAAGAGTACTTTAAAGCCGTCCGTCCCATAGAAATTGCTAGAAAAAGGAACGTCTTTTGAATTCCTTGATCTCTTTCATTTCCGTCAATTTGCCTTGTAGTTTAATAAGCGTTAAAAACTGGGTAATGTTTTCGATGATGCGTTGAAATTTAAGGGGCCAACTGTCAGTTTCACGGTAGTGTAGTCTTTTGTTAAGTATAGGTGGTTTTCATGTAATCTCGGGAGACACAAATAACAATAGTGAAATGAACAAACGGTGGTGGACAAACAAAGGGAGCTAATGAGCGATCTTTTGTTTACCGTCCACCAGCATGGCGGCGATGACGTAACGTGAAAACCACCTTTACCCAGGGTGCCCTTTTCTCGCTATGCAAGTTAGTTAAAGAGTGTGAATAACAAAAATCATCGCTTCCTGACAAACAAATATGAGCGTTAAGTTTGAAGTTAAAAATCATAGAGATCAAAACAGAACTTTGGAAATCCGTTAAGTTGTTTTTTAAAACATGAGTCAATGTAAAATCATCTCAATTCGGTTTAAGGAATATGGATACTAAATTGGGTGCATAGCCCCATAGATTTATTATGCATAGATGTTTCGAGACTCTTGCATGCATGAATAATAAATATATGGGACTAGCAAGGCTGCTCACTATTTCATATCTGAAATATTTGAATGCATGTGCTGTTGACCCGATACATATCTCGATTGTTTTGAAAATTGCATTCACTTCTTCTTGTTTTCAAAATTGCATTGTGTGATGTAATTAGTGGATGGGTATTCGTTAACAGTCGGGGTAGTCTCAATACAACATATATTTACTATAAATAACTGGTCAATAACACCGGTAATCTCATAACGTTCTACATTTTCATTTTTTCTCCAAGAAAACTCATTGACATCCCGCTGATCCACGCTAGCTGAACCGAAGGGTGATGGAAATAAAAATGTCACTAATCATATTAGCAGGTTTACGCTTCTTGAAGCATCTTTGCAGTGCATTTTCATTGAATTTTAGAAGACTTTCCTGGGGTTTATTTGTTGAGTGTCACGTCCAGGTTCAAAAAGAGAGTGGGAAATTGTTCATTGCGTAATGATAATAATTGTTACACAATAATATTCACAATGTTTTGATAATAAATGCATCTTCTTCACGTTGCCGTTCGAATTCCGTTGCCGCAGAGTTGTTCGGATTCGATCTCTAATAATGTTTTACTTGGGTACTGACTTATGAACCGTTTAGCTAACTTTTCCTCTTCTTCTTCTTCTTCTTCTTCTTTTGTTTATTTTTTTCATAAGGTATACATCCGCTATTCGATGTGATGTCACTCTTCCTCAAAAGTCTACTCCAGATTGCAAGATCGTAAGAAAAGCTGCCCTTGCTGAAAACAAGAAGACGTGGACTTTAAAACATGATCCAGATGTGTATGGCTTCGCCCGTTTGAACATGACCCCAACGCAGCTAGCTGCTATTGTTTTTAAGGACCCCTTTACTAGATACTACACTACAGCATACACGCAGACCCTGAAGACAAATGAGAAAGTTTTGACACAGTACATCAACCAGACCTTGGGGCAGCCAATCAACGACTTCTCAGAATATCTTGCGATGTCTGAGTTTTTCCAGACGGTACTGGAGCCTCTTGTGGGGGTAATCACTGTGTTATTGTTTTCTTCGACTTTGCGTTGCGAAATCCATTGTGTTCTTCCAGTGGGGGGTTACTCTCCCAATATTTGGGTAGAGGTAGGCAGCTGAGGGTTTAAAACCCTGACCTGGTTTAGGAGGAAAAAAATCCGAAAATCTACCCTGCTTAGGACAACACCCTGAAATTGTATTGCCTTGTTTAGGACAAACGACAAAATGAACACTATCTTATTTTAGCCATTTATTGGCAATTGCAATTACGAAATTCACGTTATAGTCATTCCTTTTGAAGACTTACAGTACAGCACAAACAAATTTCATCAAAATAATCAACTCATGCAATCGTGCTGGCAATACTCTGTTCCTGTCAATAATTAGGACAGACTTGCAGCAAATTATATTTCACTGACAAGGAATGTGGAATCCAGTCCCTGGAATCCAGATTTGACAGCGTGAAATCCAGGAAGCAAGACCGGGGCCCACCTAGCCCTCCCCTAAGCCAACATTATACTTACTTCTCACGTTGGCTTAGGGAAGGGGTAGGTGAGGTGACTTAATATTTCATATAGTGGAAATACAAGCTGATCACGGGTGAAGAAAAAAAAGGTCAGTCAACCTCTAATTACCTATATGTCGTTACAGGAATACGCCACGCTAGCTTCAAGGCACGAAGCTTTTATTAACGACAAGACGAAATGGATAAGCGACAAATACTTCACCCAGCAACGCCTAGCTGGGACTAACCCAATGTCACTCCAACGCGTGACAGTTCATGAACGAGGTAAGGCTGCCGCAAAATGCTTAGTGCGGGGGGGGGGGTGGGTGGCGTTGGTGGTAATCAACAAAGTTTTATACGGGGAAGCACTGTCCCGACGTTCAACCCCTTAACCGTTTATATAAGACTATGAGTAAATCCCAAAGCCATTACGTTTTCTCGAATTTTTCAAGGCCGTAAAATACATCTGTTAGCCCATTTACAGACCGAGATGACAGATTTCGCTACCCTTTCATATACTTGAAAAAGTGAAATCCCTAGCCCTTCATACACCTGAAGCTGGAGGAAGTACACCTTTCGGGTGGAGTTTCCCCGTATAGGCCATTATAGGGAGTACCCCCTTCCTAAGTGCCTAGTTCATAAGAGTATTTCAGTTGAAGCGATGCTTACCATCAAATCTTATCAAGTTCAACCAATGCTCTGTCTCAAACTTTTGAATATGAATGGTGCTGTAGTTTATGTTGGAAGCTCCCTGATCTTGCACAACCGTGGTAAAACCACGGTTGTAGAAGATATAATCAAAAGAAATTTATAAAAAACAGGATGTTAAAAGAATTTAGCAGACGTAAACATGAAGGTAATCACTAGCCGTGTGAAGAAATCTTGGCTACTATAACTTTGCTACTATATATGCCATGAAAGAGAAATTCACCACAGACACATTAAAAGTGATGATTTCAACAAACCCCAAAGAACTTCATGCAACAGACGTAAGCGGAGGTCGGTGTATAAATGAAATGGGCATGCACGGCATTGTGGTTAAAAATCCAGATGCATCGTGGTTAGATATCGAAATTTTTTGTCCCTGTACAGATAGATCTGCTGCTCGCTCGCTACAGGCTCGCTCACACGGCAGCAATTATTGAAGTTAATTGCTGTTATTGTAACAATAAAAACAGAGGCTTCGCTTTTAGCCTTGGCTAAATCTATAAATCATAGCTGAAGCCTGCAAAAAGTACCCCTTTCTCGCGGAGCCTCCCCGTATAGGCAATCATAGGGAATACCCCCTGGAATTTATTTCAGTCATATGACTAATAATGCCTACCTGTATTCTGCGTGGGAGACTAGGTGGGCGCTGCAAGGTGAAAACAACTGATGGCAGATGCTGCCGTTTTCCATTCAAATACTGGTTTAAAATATACAGGACGTGTACCATAAAAAATCACTACAGGCCATGGTGTAAAACCTACAGAGGATTTCCAAGATGGGGAAACTGCAAAGGTGAACTTCAGTCGTCAAATATTACTATTAAGTACTATTGCTTATTAACAGTCAGCACTCAGTCGCTGATGACACTCAGTCTAAATTAACGGTCGTCGACGTAAGGTTTTTTTTTTTTCATATGCTCCAGCCTGCTTAGGACAATTGCAGCTTTTGCCCTTTTATATCTATTAAGTACACTTGAGCACTGAAATTTATAGACTATATAGAGGACTCATGATCAAGCCCCGGTAATGTCTACGGCACTTAAGAAGTGTTTAAAAAACTCTACGGAACTAAACTGAACTGAACTAGTCATTGTAGTTGGGAATTTAATTACTTTATATCATTCCTTATTTTTTCATATCATTCCAAGTTCATGAAAAGCCTGCAAAGCCTGCGCTAGTAGGTTTGGATTGGAGCAAACTGAAGGAAACGCTAAACCCTAACTTTGACTGCGATGCCGCTGTACAAGCTGTTCTTTCAAGACGTTACACTTTGAAAAAGGTATGAGGTCTCTTCAACGGTCTGTTAATATATAGGTAGTCCACCAAGCGACAGTTAATAGATTGGAATGGTTATGAGGTCCGTCAGACTTTGTTAATGTTTTAGTGGAAATGGTGGTAGGCTCTATTACCAGCCGCTTTTCGGGAAATGTGAATGCGCTCCTCCCACGAACAGTCTCTTCTTGGGAAGGACCGAGGGAGCGGGTAGTGCTTGGTGTAAGACTGCCCAAAACGTCCCGAGCGGCGAAAATCTAGCCTAACTTGGAGGTGCACAAAGTTCAAAAGCATCCCTATTACTTTGATCTTACTGACCAATAAAAATCGTCACATTGTTATATTCCGTCACAATTTGTGAACAGAAGGCAAAAGATTAAGTACTATTATAATTGAGTTCTCGAAACTGAAAAAAAAAACTATAAATACGGCTGGCTGAGAGCATCATCTCTGGTTGATGACAATTTTTAAGGAGCGGGGAAGGATGGTAAATGCCAATTGGCGTTTAGCTGCGAATGAGATAGAAACGGGGGATTTATTGGAGAGAAGGCTAAAGTCTGTTTGACTTCTGGTGGTAACGGTGTGCAACGGAGCTTTTTATTTACTTCATATCTTGCTTAAAATAGGATTAACCACTCTTGAAAAGGGAAAACTATTTGATATTTTTATCATTATTTATTTATTTATTTGTTTATTTATTTATTTTGTTTTTCAGGCCGTAGATCAGGGAAGAATCTATGCTCTTCGTTACGAACTGTGCGACGGGTTGGCGAGATCACCTGATCTTACAGACAAAGATCCTCGACGCGAAATGTGGAACTTTTTTTCTCCTATAGCTCTGTTTGCATCTAAGCCCATTAGCCAGAGAAAAAACGAGCTTCTTCCAGTGGCTATTCAAATGGATTTTACTCCTGGTATGTATGAGCCTTTTTTCTATTGACAAGAATCTACACCGAAAAAAATTAAATCCTTTTACGTCAAATAGTTCATGTATTAGACCGCGAGTGGTTTCTCAGAGTCACGCGCATGGAGTGAAACAAAAAGGCAAATAAACGGTAAAAGAGGAGGAGAGATTAGGGCAGAGAGAGAAGAAGGAACGCTTATTTTTCGTTCGCAGGGACATCTGCCTTCGTTCCTCAAACCGTTTTTCGACAAGGAGGCTCCGCCCTAAGTTTCTCTTCCATCCCCCTGTTTTGGTAGGAAAGTACCCCTTTCGTATATCTTCTATTGAAAAATGGTACCCTTCCACATAACCTGTTTAGAACTTTACGTCCCTTTCAACCTTTTGCAAATACGCTCTTCTTAAGATATGAATGACCTCAAACCAGAACGTTTTCTCGATTTTTTTCGCAGCCATACAGACCAAAATGACATAATTCCCTACCCTTTTCAATTATGCTTCTACTAGTAAAATTCCTACCCTTTCATATACCCAACGCCTAAAAAAGGTATCCCTCTCGGGCGTAGCCTCCTCGTATAGCCCATTATAGGGAGTAATCTCCCCAACCCCGGGTTAGCAATCTCACCCAGCTACGCTGCCTCTCATGATATCAGTGATATCAGTGACATTGCACATATCAAGAGATGTCAACTGGTAAAGTGGTGTTTGTAAACTTTGCTTAGATTCAGCAGTTTACACTCCAAATGACGGAGACAATTGGATGATGGCCAAGCTCAACGTTCAAGTAACTGACATAGGATATGCGCAGATTGTGGAGCACCTCGGAAGGGTATGATCAATTTTCAGCAAGTTTCAGTCATACTTGTCTCAGCAAAACAGTAATTGTATTTGCCAAGCTAATTGATAGTAAGTCAGTAAGTTAGCCATCCGTGGACACCAATTTCATTTTTGCCTTATACGCACTCTTGCAGATCGAAGTAAACAAGCATTTCCGAGTACAAAGCCTTTTAATGTCCAATTTACGGTGTTTTAGAGAGTGTTAAAAGGGCATATTTTAAGATTCAACTTCTTTTTCTAGGTCCACTTTATGATCGAGCCTTTCTGCGTAATTCTTAAAAGGACTCTGTCAAAACAGCATCCACTGAACCAAATCCTCAGGTTTCACTGCAGAGAGCTGACTGTTCCAAATACTTTTGGAGTTCCCAACCTTGTAAACGAAAACGGACTCACAGATCGACTGTTTGCATATGGAAACAAGGGGTCATTCAGAATGCTTAAAGACACATACCCTTTATCCACTTGGGAAATAACCGACTACCGAGGCAATATTAAGGTACGTCAGTAGAACTCGCCTGTGAGTGAAGCTCTTGCTAAAATTTACTACATATTTGGCATAAAATTATCATCAAGAATTCCCTTTGACTCGAAACTTAATCTCTAATCAGCTTTATCCCTTATATCTAGTCATAATGTAACCCTAACCAGTTTATCCTGTTTAAAGATCAACACAAATATTCAGTTGACACACTGTCTACACGTGAACGTGAAAGAAATGCAGCTGTGGAAAGCAGGTTCTCTATTAGATTTCAGAGCGCAACAACAGGGAAAAGCTGCTTTAAAACACACCTATAAACAGTAGACGATTTAGAGTAAGGACTTTGACCTGCGTATTGTAATCTAACTGAAAGCTTATTGAAAGTGCCCATAATATTTCATTAATTCTTACGCGACAATCCCATTACCCTGCGAAAAAAACCGTTTCTCCTCGTTCCTCGCGGTCTGGGACGTTTCGTCAGGCGAGGCGTCTGCACCTCAGCGACAGAAATTCCTGCTAATGACGTAAAATCTGCCTGGAATCTGGGTAGGAGCTCTGATTGGTGCACGTTGTAGTTATACTGTCTTAGCTATTGTTTACGAATGACAGACAAAAGGCCACAAAGGTCACATGAATCTTTTACTAAACAGTCAATATTCGTGGAATATATTCTTCTCTAGAAGAAGCGTTTGAGTTTTGCTGCAGTTCGTTCACAGATGAACGCAAACTTACCAAAATTGACCAGGAGAAACATAAAATCGAACAAATTTGCATTTGGAACCCCATGACAACCGGATTATCCAGTGTACAGCCGCCCCCTCCCCTCAAGAAAAAACTGGGGAGATCTTTCTCTCTCTCCCCGATTTTTTCTGAGGGGAGGGGGGCGTCTGTACACAGGCTACTAAAGGATTTATTACATTAATTTACGTCATCAGTATGGAATTTCTGTCGCTGAGACGCAGACGTTCCTCCTGTATAAAAGCTTGATTAACAATGCAAACTACATTGCAAAGAAATCTTTACTCATTAAGCAAACGGAGAACTTTATTTCCCTATCTTATTTCACTAGAAACGCGGACTCGATGATAAAAGACTTCTTCCCTTCTTTCCTTTTCGAGATGACGGCTATAAGATTTTGGAAGTCATTGAACAGATGGTGAAGGATTACGTTACAATGTAAGCTAGCACACTGATGTAATAGATGGAATAAAATGAAAGGATAATCTTTGCCTCAGCTTAGGAGCACCCAATCGAGCCGTTTACCGTTCTCCTTCCAGTACAAAAGCAAATATTTAATATGCGTCTTTGTTTCATTCTCTTTATTTCAATCACTGAAGACAGCAGGCTACTGTTTAGCAGTTGTACTTGGCTTGTCGTCTGGGCTAGATGTACTTCATTCAACTCGGTATTTTAATGGAGCAATGTCACTGTTGTTTAATCCCGTGTTGAAGTCATTAGTTAGTGCCTCTACCCATCCATAACATGACCTGCAGGGTTATGAGAAGTTATCAAACAAATTTTATCAGAGAGAACTAATCATAGTAGCTTTCTTGGTGACATTTGCTGGCAGTGGCGTTAAAACTGACTTGAAAACAAACGTTGGCCCAACTTTTTTTAAGTTTGATCCATACCCATCCTTCCTATCCTTAGTAACAGAAGGCAGAAGACAGTTTCAATGCCTATGAGTCTTAAGTAACGATGAAATTAGGGCATTATTTTTGGAATTCATTTAACGCAAAGATACGTTTTAGCTCTTTAAAAAGATAGCAAATAGCTTGACAAAGACCCTGTACTAAACTCTATTAGGCCATCTTTCAAATAACATCACTACATACGTCCAAGCGAATCATAAAAGACCATTAAATTGTCAAGGAGCAGAACGTGAAACCCAGTTAATTAAATACTCAGCCTTAAAATCGATAAGGAGAACAAAACCAACAACCGTGGTCTTACTCAAATTGATAACATGTAATTTTATATTTATTTAGGTATTATGAGGACGACAAAGAAGTAAAAGAAGATACAGAACTTCAAGATTACGTCAATGAACTGTCTCTAGACGGAACAGGGCCGAATGGCGGCATTGGCAGGGTAAAGACTATATAAGATATATCAAGGACAACCAAGGACTTTTTTTCCGTAAAATTACTGTTCGAAGCAGCCGTCATTACCCAGCAATCTCTTATAGGTAACCGTTCCATTCATATATTAAGCTCTAAAATTCCGAATATCCTATTTTCAGGGTTTTTTTGCTACTGAACTCGTGCACCTTCGATTTTTGGAAGTTGAGTTTTTCAAATATTACTACCAAGATTTCGACTTTACAGTTAATAAAATGGTCCCTGGAAATCTCATTAGAGAGACAAAACGTAACCCAGATTTCCTATACTTCTAATAAAAACACGGCTATTCCATGTCCTCGAAATTTCGTCTGGACCCATCGGGGTAGAAACATTTTGGGATGAGACGGAAAACCCAGCTAAAACTTTACAGACGTTGTCCAAAGTTCCCCTAACACATCCAAACAGGTAAGTAGCTTTTCGACCAGCTTCAAATAACCCAAAAAGGCTTCTAAAGCGAAGAGAAAATCATTTTAGACACCTCTGTCGCATTTGAAAACATTCGGTCGTTGGGTGATATATTCCAAGATAAGATGAAAAAAGATTCAAAGCGTATTTTCATACCAATGATAATTATTTGCTCAGACATCGAAGAGAAATATTTCATTCTTCATTCCGTTCAAGGGCTTTGCAAAACAGCATGCACGGAAATTTTTCTTTACGAATGGCATTCGTAACGAAAAATCTCGGACACAGAGAAAAACAGTTCATCAGTCTACCTTACTTATACAAGAATTTTTTCAGGTGTCCCTGTGTATATTTTACCTATTACTGTGTTTCCCAACGTTAAACAAAGGTAGTGAAACATGAGAAACACAACTTTTCAGGATCACAAACATTTATTTCTTTGCTTGTTCTTTCCCTTAAAATTCTAAAATCTTCCTCCTGATCGGAGCTTGGTTGTACAGCCAGTTCTGCGAAAGCTAAAAGTGGATGTGGTAGCCTATGCCACCGTTTAACGTGGTTTGAACTAAACTCTGCTTAAAACCGTCTGCGAAACAGACTCGAAATCTTTGCTCTGGGGCCTCACCTGTGTTACCTGAAGACTTGAGTACGTTCCATGATTGGCCTGTTAAAAATGGCATCGTCGAAATGCAAATAAGGTTAAAAGGAAATTCGAATCGCACTTCCGGTAATTCGTTGAATCCGTTGGGGGCCCGGGACAAAGGTATCGGCGCCGCTTCGCAGACGTTACTAACTGGAATCAGATAACGTCTACAACGCAGGCTAGGGATGTGGGAAATCAGGGGAAAAACAGTGTGTTAAGGCAAAGAATTTGGACAGGGAGAGAGAGAATTCAGTCAAAAACATTAGGAAAGATTCAGTCTCGGGCAGACAACAGTGTTGGAACTTCTCAGAGAATTCGGTGATTTCAGAGTATTTCTGTCATTCAACTGAATCAAGAGACAATTGCTACTACTGACAATTAGGACATTTCAGACTGCAGTAGTTAAGTAATCCACTTGTGTTCTTGTGTTATTATTTAAAACAGATTCAAGGTTTTCCTAAAAGCATCGGTACCAAGAGGCAGCTTTGCGAAATTCTAAGCCGCTTTCTCTCCCACGTGACGATATACCACGCTGCCGTTAATTACGTAGTAGTTGACTATGGACAATACATTCCAAACCAACCGACCAAGCTCTACAATGACTCCAGGGTAGAAGTGGGAGAATTTTCGGTTTACCGCCTACCAAACAGGCTGACAACTGCGGTAAGTGGGATTCTTATTATGAAACATTGTTAGTTTCGTTATTTTAAGCTTCCTTGACAAGAAACGCATTCTATCTGAGCATCAATGTATTTAACGCGAAAGTACCATTTGGGGACACTATTTTTTACGTTTCCAACTGGAGATGCGGCCGCTATCTTACATGATCATCCCAGCTATGCGAAGCAGTGTAATCGCTTGCAATGCAAAGGGAGTACCTTAGTCTTTAAGGTCCCGGGAATCGAACCCGCGACCTCCGCTCTGCAGTCAAGCGCTCTGTCGACTGAACTAATCCTGCTGCAGTTATAAAAAGAAATGAAAAGCAAAAAAATGTAAGTGCCAAAGTTATAGTTTTCATACCTCAATAGCTATTATTGACTCCTCGGTAGTTGTAATTAATGAAACTTCGTCATCAAAATCTGTGCTATAAAAGTTTTCCTCCGACAACTTGATGTTTTGCATTGATTGGAATTTCATACTCAGTCCGTTCTTTGGAGCATCGCGTTCTGTGTTTAGTGTATTCCAGAACAGACCATGATGACATTGTTAGTGTAATTTTAAATTATTGTGTTTGAAAATTTCAGATCCATTCCAGTGCTTTCAATACGCTTGGAATATTCCGCCTCGACCGCTTGTTTGACTACGGCAACTCTCTTGAGGACACCGACGCTGTCAATCTTATTAACCGTTACTATAGTAAGCTAATGCAAGATGTCCAGCCTAAATTACAGAGTCTAAACCGGAAAAGGAAGGATGGCGGAGATCTGACCTATCCTTATTTTATTCCCAAGTGGTTGCCGAACGGAATTCAGACATAATCCACACATTTTTGCAATTTTGACATCATTGAGGGGGGCGTAAGGGTTTTCGGTGTTGGGGTTTTGCTCGATTTTTGGTGCGGTTTTTCGGAAATTTTTATTTCAAGTTGCGGTATTGCGGTTTTACAAAACCAAGCGGTTTGCGGTATTCAGAAAGTTTGGGGTAATTTCAATGATGTGCGGTTTCAGTTATGTTATTCTGAACAGTGTTTATAGGTATTTCTGTGTGGTTTTGCTGTATTCGTACCCCCAGTCACACAGTTTTACAATTAACAGGCCAATGTAATACTCATAGCGCACCTTGCGAGGAACAGCACTTAAATTATAATCCTCATTTGTTGTAGAAGGGTTCACTCTAAGGGAAATCCTTTCAGAGTGCGTGAAATATTTAGTGTCGTTAATGTGTGTTTGACATAAAGAGATCCCATGACTTGTACCACACTACTGATGTGATATAAACTTGAAATTAAAGAGCAAAAAAAAAGGATGATTTCGTTCACTTTAACAAGCCTATGGACAAGGAGTATAACTGTCACGTGTGTTCTCGACCTGGGGTCAATTTAATAAAAGTTTTTTTTTTTTTTTAATTATTAAATTGAGCCCTGAAGGTGGTTAGATCAGTCAGATGATAAATCTAGTTGGTGGTGGGGTTCTCAGTTTCCCTTTTGGTCAGAATTGTCACTCGGCCTCGAGACTGAGGAGTATAAACTACTAAAAGAGTTGAGATTTGAGGATGAATAGCGCTTTATAAAAGCAGTCTACCACTTTGCAGTCATAGAAAATAGATTCTACCCCTTTGGGGAGAATCCAAATTCTTGGGGGAGTTCTCGACTGAAGAAATACCATTCTCATACATTCACCAGCCATGAGATTAACCAACACCTTTTTAAATATGATTTTTTAATTTACATACCATGGCGGTACGGAGGGTATCGATATCCCAGTATGCGCAATGAATCGAGCACGAACCGTGTTTAATAAACTTAACTACTGCAAGTAACTTGTAACTCACTTGCAAACAATTGGACCAGTGACAAGAAGGCCACAGGATCGACTGATGCATTGAAAACTATCCGGCTTTTTTTTTCGAATTGCCCGTGTCACTGCAAGAAACACTAAAAAATAACAGAAAGAATACACATAAGTATTTATTCGTGGCTTTTAATGTTCTTCAAATGCGTTATATTTGATGTAGTTCTTCCCCGAGATATTTCTTCTCCTTTTTTCATCGTTTTCTTCCATGTTGAAATTTGTCTCAATTTCATTATCAGCCTTAAGAAATTTGTGATCAGCCTGAAACAAAAGTGGGACATTAAAATACTTGATGCGTTAAAAAATTTAATTAATAAAAAAGGCAAACTAGAAGCTTTATTAAGTCAGTGGAAACGAGTGATGGACAGCTGGATGGAGAAGCACTAGAGGCAGCAAAAGACTTGAAATATCCCTTGGGCACATACTTAGGTAATATCAATTCACCTCACAGTCACCCCATTTAAAAAAATCCAAAAACTTTAAGTGTCAACTTGAGCAAGAGGGAGACATTTTTTGATTCATGCCCCGAATGTGTGCGATTCAGTAAAAAAAGAACAGAGTGTGAAAATAAGGCCAAAATGCAAACAAATGTATTCGATTTCAAGAGTAAATGCTTAAAGGTTCCTGGAGGGGTAGTAGTCTTTATGCCAATATAATCAATTTGAGTGTCAAAAGTGCTAACTGAGGACACTCTTTTTCGTCTCCTACTGGAGAAGGGACCGCCATTTTACGTGGTCTTAAGCCCGCGACCTCCCACTCTGCAATCAAGCGCTCTACCGACTGAGCTAGCCCTGCCACGATTAACTAACCTTCCGTCCAAGTTGTATCTTCCAACAAGAAACATCACAATTGGAGTGACAATTGAAGCCATGGTGGCCTTGAGTAGAGCTTTTCCTAGATTACTGTGGAAAAAGTTTCGTCTGATTTCATACTCCTCAATCTTTGTCTTGAATGATTGCTCTTCGCACCAAGATTCCTCTTAAATATTAAAAATACATTCAATAAATTAATTGAGAAAGTGAATAAATTAATGAACAAATTAGTTCAGTTGTAATCGACTCGACTTGATATATTTAGTTAAGAATTTTTCGTTATTCGGTAGAGCAAATGGAGCACATCAAGGGCAACATTTGGACAATCTTTGGAATGTTCATAAAAGTCAAAGTGTCTTCGTTTTTAAGAAAAATTCAGGATAGAATAGCATCCCAAATACACCACCGAGGATTTGGTGACGAATACCAGTTTGATTTAAATATATAACCCTAACCCTCACCCTAACCCAAACCCTAACCCTACTTTGTGTACGAATCATTAATGTGTCAACGTCAGTTTGGCGGATGGAATTAAGTGTAGACCCAGATAGTTGGTGGCTAATAGCCAACAAAAAAGCCAAATTTCAGGCTTATTGGAAAAGTACCTTGCCCTTTCAACTGTGATTGCAAGTCAAAGTACCGCATTTTTTCTCAGCATATACACAATAATGTACAGGCATACCTACTGGACAGCCATTCACTGATATTCTTTGCAAGCATGTGATGTTTCCCTTTGCATTGCAGACGAACTGCACATACCGAGCTGCAACAGGTGCGGAAAAGCTGCACACAAACATCCATTCATCGTCCTTGTAGTAAAATGACTGAAAAAAAAAACTATCTATGTTAGTTCAAACGCCCTGGTTAATTAAGTATTTAGAAACTGTTATGCTATATTTTAGAAAGAAGACAACCCCGACGAGATTTCTCGTTTTCTTCAGTCTCCCTAAGTTGCAACTCCTAAAGACCGTTAGTGCAACGAGGGTCGCTGTAAGATGTGAAAATCTCAGCGACTGAAAACTCTATTTGAAAATAAAGATACTCTAAAAAACCGACGCAGAGAAAATTGCAGGCCATTTGTGTATATAACCTGCGATATACTCTTACGAAATTAAACAGAGAAGACAGAAACATAAAGATAGTAATCTAACACATTTAATAGCTTGACAGGTCTGCATTGTACGGGGTATATTTTTTGAAAGGCTGTTTAGAGTTGGTTTGTTTGCTTGTCATTAATTTAAAAATTAACATCGATAGAAATTGGTTTATTTGATTGGTTATCAGTCTATTTGCGGAGAACGTTTTACCGCCGCCCCATTAGGAATCCAGGAAATTCTTGCTTGTGGAATCCGGAAGCTTAGGGCTTTGGAATCCGTGATTCAGTTTATGGGATCCGGAAACCCGCTAACGATTGAAATCCAAGTTCCACGGACAAGGAATTCTGAATCCACAGAGTTGAATCCTGATTCTAAGATTGTCTTGGATTGCCTTACATGAGGCGGTAACCTGAACTCTACCATCACGAAAACTACATGTACATACCTGAATTTTAAGACCTTGTGGAAAGCTCCTCATCAGCGAGGGATTATTTCCACTTAGTAACAAAGCGTGTTGTTTTGCGCTTTTGCCAAGAAACTGATAACTTGAGATTAAACTGCAAGATGGCAGGTCTAATACTGGATGTTCACTGTAAATTGGAGTAATTTGATCGTCATCGCATTTCATACCCATTTCTCTAAATAGAAACCAATCAACTGTACACCAGTGTTTGTCTGAAAAAAGAAACCTCAGGAGTTATTTCATCACCAGACTTCCATGCATAGTAGAGAGAAATAACCTATTTCTACCAGGTATTACTTCCAGCAATTCCATCAATTGAGTTTAACAAAGCGTTGTTTATCATAAACGTTACAGGAAGAGCCAGTGTGATTCCAATAAAAAGATTTATACTAGAAAAGGGGTTCCTTTCGCTCTGTCAACACTGAGACAATTGATTCCGCATGTGCTGTCCGCTTCCAGTAAGTAATTATTTACTAAGTATAAGTAAGTAACTTTTATTAATGTGGTCAAATTAAATACGCTTAGCTCATTATACCATAAAGAAATATCCTGACAAGACAACTTATCACGAGCGAAGTTTATTCAGCGTCCTAACGGTCTTAACTACAAAGTTACACTGCACGATGGGTAATAATTTTTAGTGCGATCTATAGCTAATTGAATATATGAACAAAGAATGGTCCGTATTGGGAATAACGATCTGAACAATCGTAACAATAATTTAATAATAATTTAATTCTTATATTGCGCGCTTTTCATGAAATGATCATGCGCGCATTACATGATTTCTATCTACAATAATTTAATACAGGGTATCTAACTACTAATTATTTAAAATATACTATGAAAAATTAAAATTAAAACATACAAAGATACTAGTAATTATCGTGATAAAAATTAATAAATTAATAAAAAGCTTCCCTAAAGAGGTGCGTTTTCAGGTGGCACTTAAAAATCCCTAGATCTGTAATAGAACGAATCTCACGCGGTAATACTTTCCAAAGTGCCGGAGCTGCGACCTGGAATTATCTGTCTCCTAATGTAACCCTACTTCTATAAGTTGGCGTTGCAAGCAACAAACCATCCGAGGAGGATCTTAAATTATAATTTCCTGATCTTTTGATTGACACAATCGTCGGCTAATTGAATATGCAATAGCGTATAGCAACAACTATAGTGCTGTATATATCGGTGAATGCCAAAATTTGCCTTTAGCTTTCCTATTCTGGAAGTAGCTTTTAGATGTAAGCATCTTAGCGTCCCTTGTAATCACTTACCTAATCTACATCCTGTTATCTGCAGTTTATTTAACAACAAAGGACCGCCAGCTTCATCAGTTGGAACGAATTGAACGTATCTAGCTGGAGCTGGTTCATCTAAACTGTTGAAGAATAGCCATTCGCCTTCCGAATACTCTGACTTGAAACAAAATGTTTATGAATTTAAAAACCCTTATTAGTTTTACTACACATTAAACACGAAAAACCTCGTTGGGGTATATTTTAAATGGTTTCTACACAATGTACTTTTAAGCATGTCAGAAAACCCTTTACACCTAATGATGTGATGACGAACCTGAATTGCTCGATACACTGAAAAGTCCTACATAACCTACGTTTTTAAACGGACACCCCTTCAAAACTTAAATTTTTGACGGTAACTTTGGTACCCGCTTTGAGGAATTTTGACTTTGTCTATGAATTTTGTTACACCTGAAAGAATCATTTCCTCAAGACTCAGGACTGGACCCAAGCTTGTTGTGTAAGGGAATAAAAAAGCATTAGCTAAGCATAATCTTTTTTTGTACTTACTTCCACTTGCATATTTCCATCATATTCCGTCAAGAGCTTCGAATTCAACCCGCTTATCATCAATTTGTGGCTCCTTGATACATTTGACGCAAACTGATAACTGGTAATAAGACTGCAGGAAGCCAGCTTTCTAACTTCTTCCTTATTAAGAAGAGAACTTTGGCGATCACCACACAGAATTTCGTCGGCCGTAAAACTCTTTGGTTTACATCGAGACTTTACTGGAAAAAGAAGCAAACCAATAAAAATGATCGTTACGAAGACCTTTCATATAATTCTAGCCAAACATGCACGTGCACACTCAGCGTATTTACCTAAAAGTTCGTCGTGGTGCTTTAGAATTTTCTTCTTTTTATACTTTCTGAGGCGGGGCTTACTTGATGGTGTGGAGAAAGCTTCAAACATGAAATTATTTATTTGCTTAAAACAAAGTACCAAGTGATCACCATTTTTACACGTTGTCATAAAATTGCTTTCGGTTGGGCCTGAGGCCTGACGCAACAGCATTGCGTGATGAGACTGAGCAACAAAGCCAGAAAATATCAACCAATCCAGCAACGGCCCATTTTAAAAGGCCGTTAGCGAATTAATTGATGTTTTCGACTCTTAATTTTCCTTTCAAAGGACACATTTTAAGTAGAAAACGTACAAGACTAAAATTGGAAGCCTTTGTGGTCCCCTTATGTAACGTAAATGAAAAGAAGTTTGTTTGAAAACAAAAGAGAGCGACAGAGACGCAGAAATATTCTGACCCTACCCAACGCACTTGTGTACGCAAGTGCACATATCGAGGCCTTTTAAGTACATAACCATTGCCGTTTTATTTATCTGAACTAGTTGTAGGAATCTTTTTCAATTAATGTTTTTTTTATTTCATTGTTAAAAGGAATTGACTGAAAAAAAATAACATGTTGCAAAACATTATCTCTATCAATTTATTAACCCTTTTCGTAACTTAACCTCGCTTCGCGTCCATACCTAACGTGCAACCGCAAAGTCAGACCATACAAACACTTCTAACGGAAAACTGCACAAAACAAAACCAGGAACTGGTTCAGAGAAGTAGACCATTGCTCACAATATAATCTGTCTGAAAACGAAAAAAAAGATTTTTTGTAATAAACGTGTTGATTATGAATCAAGAAGAACTGATCTGTTTTGATTGCTTAAAAAACTGGGCGCACACAAAAACGAGTTCAGGAACTGGTTCAGAAGAATTTAGTAGTTGATGAACAGCCAGGAGCTGCCCCGGTGGATCTTTAGATGTGGTCAAATTTTCTTTCAAAGTTTTTGCAATTCTGCTTTAATGAGAATGTAATCGCAAATGATTCAATGTAAAACATGAAAAATTTATCAAGGGCTCCGAAGAGTCTCTTACTTTATCTTTTTGTATATGTTAGTTGTTCTGCCTCGCAGAGATTTATCTGGTGGATAGTGTTATCACCGTTTGAACAAAAGGGGCCAGCAATTTGTTGTCTACGACAGTTGCATACGGGTAAAGGAATGACGAAACAAAATCGTTGTCACTTTAAGCTGAGAACTGCAGCTACTCAAATCTTTTACCTTTAAATTTATGTCGCCTTTGTACTCCTTCATTTTTTAGTTTCGTTGGCACTTATAAGGAGCTTGAAGAGTCTATGTGTCCTGGTAGTGAAACTGTAACCAGTGATTACACTGCAAGGTGATAACTCTTCCAATGCATGATTGGAAATTGATGTACCGTCCTCCTCACTGCTGTAACATGGAACTTCTAGGGTTTAAAGAATATCTTTTTTTTCTTAACAAGCAGATTGTTGTTGTTGTTTGTTTCTTTGTAATTTTAATACAAAAAAAGTAAAGGCGCTTTGCGAAAGTCAGAACTGTCTGGCTAGACCGGTAGCATTTACGAAAATACTAATCTGACTGTATAGTCGTGATTAGATCATGGAATACCCGAATTGCTAGACTGGTCTGCTTATGCAGTCAAATATTAAGTGCTCCTAGATTAACGTCCCTCACGTTATCTCATCCTCTTGAACATTTTCACGAATGGAAACAATAAGCGACAACACAATACTATATATGAACGGGGGGGCCTTGGGAACTGGATTACTTTTTATGAGATATACCGCTTATGAAAAATGTGAAGCACGGCGTTCCAGGAGCGTCTAGACTTCAAAACGCTTTTTGGTTAGGGAAGAAGGAGGGGAGGGTATGCCTCGTCTCTGCAAAAAATCTGGCAACGTCCAATTTTTTTCTATCTAGTGCGACGGTTGGCAACAACAATTTGCATGCTTGTTTCCACATGATAAGATAAATCACAGATTAGCATATTCCCCTTTACGAGCTCCGTGATCCACACCACCACCCACAGGGGCTGTAGTTACATACCTATCGTCCAGTTGGTTGCATAGTTTCTCTTATCATGCTTGACTAACTTCAGTTGTTGAACAGCACACTTTCCTGCAACAAAAATAGACAAAGAATTTCTAAAGCAGCATATTTGTCACGTACCTAATTATTTGCAGAGAGATTTCATCCAGCAAATGCTGCTTACCTAAAAACTAAGGAAACATTTTCTTTTAAAGATCAAATGTCCCTTTTTTCCCTTTTATTAATCAAAGGCTGAACATACAGTTTATTTGACCAAGCTCAACCAGTCGATGTATGAGAGTTTTAGCTTCTAAATAATCTGTGGTGACACATCTGCTGGGAAATGAAATCAAAAATTTGGTTTTATCAACTAAAGGGCTGTTTACATGTAGAGAGGAAGATCCTATCACCACGAAGACCCTAGAAGGAGGATCATCCTGTTTTCAGTATTCAGATTACATACCAAGGGTTGTACTTGTCCCTAGCGCTAGGATCGTCCTAGTACCAAGATCTTCCTAGCTGAGAGAAAATCCTGGTACTAGGAAGATCCTTAGCACCATGTAAACTGCTTTCGCCAGGAAGATCTTAGCACTAGAGACAAATCCGACTAAAATGTCGGTGGGTTGTTCAGTGGATAATCACAGCAATCAAGGCCGACTATTTCTTTTTTTTCCGTTACTAAGAGCTGTTAATTGTGATAATTCTGCTGAAATTAAAGGAAGTTATTAACGCAGTAAAAAGACCAGAAGGGCCCAAACTGCATTTTTAAGCCCCATTCACATCGGAGCTTAAAGATGTTTAAAAGTTGTTTAGTTAAATATGGTTTGAATTTTCTTTCCTTCATTAAAAGCTGTTTACCAACTTAAATTGATTGCTAATTTAGTGCAAATTTCAAAACATGTTGAATTTCATATGAATCCTGTGTGAAACCTTGTGTTCTTGCTTTCCATGTCTGTTTTTCATTTTTTAAAACCTGAATTAAAACTAAACATGTTTAGTTGGTGTGAATGGGGCATTAAATTCCCTCTCTACTTGGAAACCACAAGGACAGAAAATTCTGCATGTAAATCCCATTAAAAAGTCTTCCGTCTCCTAGCATCTTCCTGGTGCTAGAATTTTCCTCCCTTTATGCAAACAGCTCCTGAGTTAATAAAGTAAATTGGCCTCTGCAAAGCTCAGTTGCGAACGCTAGCCGGTACTTTCGAGACAACACTAATTCGGGACACATCTAAGCGGAGATTCTTTCATGATATTCAAGGTTCCCATTTCGTAACTGGATAGATAAACTGTGTATTTTTTTGTACGTCTTCATTGCTTTTTCCATAACTTGGCCATGGGACCAGTCTGCATTTATACATTCAGTTCATCCGGCCACGTTATTTACTGTCCTGGTCTGCAAGATATCACTGCCAGCAAGGGTTGTCGTTGCGGTCTTGCAGCTCCTAAATATCGCATTTAACTTTATCTTTTCGAAGAATTAATAGGAACAGATTAGGAAAGCGTCCACATTGTGGACAAGCGCGCTCTCTGGTTTTTGCAAAGAGGTGCTATAAAATCAAATGATAAGCTAATGATACATACGCAATCATCTTTTTTTACATTAGCTTGATGATCCTGCATTATATTTCTTCCAAATTTTTAGTACTGATGTATTTTTTTTATCTGACTTACCCGTAGTTCTAACACCAGGCTGCTCGCCGTCACTGTTTTCCTCGTCAACAGATGATGTATTAGAGTTGGGTGCTTGATCGATTTCCTTTTCTGTTCAAAATTTAACAAATATATAATTTAAAAAAATCCACATAAATGCTACAAAAAATGTTTAACACGTCCATAACATGAAATTTGCGACAGCATACTTGGAAAATTTATACCCTAATGAGTGTCTTCGTCTATCCGCAAGTTAACGTTTTTTCCAAGGCTTGTAGGTGAGGTGCATGCAACAACAGACCACGCATGTATGCACCTAAGAGTACAGCTGTTTACAGATCGGGAAATATCACCTACAGAGTATACTATGATTTACAAAGAGCTCTTCTTAGTTAAAAAGGCATGAAATAATTACCTTTGTCGTGCTTGATATTAAATGTTATTGCCTCGCGACATCCAGCTTTTTCCGTTTCGACAACATAGATTCCATAGTGCCTCCAGTCCAATGAGCTAATGACAAGAGTTTCTGAAATCTTGTTATCTTTAAGGCCTCGTTCGAATGCCATTTCAGGGTCTTCAGGAACTTCTGGTATTATTTGTGCCTCGTGCGTCCACGTTGTTCTTAAACCACGTTCGGTTTCTACAGACAGAGAGATTTCATCACCAGGCAAAGCGAATATCTGAGACGGTGACTTTGGGATGAGATGCGGTTGAGCTATGAATCGAGGTCCAAAATAAATTAGAAACACTTTTTTCTACCTCTGCTAATGCAAGCGTGTAATACAGCGGATAAATATGTTTTTTTCTTAAATGCGCTGCATAACAACAAGTATTTAACTGTTTTGTATTTATGGCCTTATAAAAGGTAGCCATAATTCTTACAAGCCAGACATGAAGGAAATTATAGATCAGATTGGTATTCAGATTACTCCTCCACAATTTTTGCTTTACGTTTGTACCCAAAAAGTGAAGAAATATTCGAGAAAAGCAGTTTTTCATAGTAATTTCAAACACTTTAAAGTCCACAAAAAACTATACCTCTATTTGTATTTTCTGTCGTTGTTTGACATGTGGTCAAAACACCATGTTTCGTTTTCCAAAAATCACTTGAAGTTTTATGTATCATCGCGAATAACCAATGCAAGGTTTTGTAAAAATATGGTGGTCACAGAAGATGAGGCTAGCAGTATATCCAGTAAAACTAGTTCCTCAAAAAAACTTACTTTTTACAATGAATAAACCTGCGGTTGCTGATTTTCCCGACATGGAGTCTCCTTCCACGTATACCCAAGTTTCTCTCTCCAATGCCTTAATAGTCAATGTTTTAAAATCTTTGGAGAGTTCAAACAATGGGTGCTCGGGTGATATATCCTGATTAACACTGGTTCTTGAATATCCAAACTTCCACTTGATACTGTTATCGTCGACATTAAAACCTCCAGAAACGAGAATACTCAAGCTTCCACTCTGTCCCTTGCAAAGTTCTACAATGTTTGGCCTAAACGATAAACTCATTGGGTCGCGTATGTCGAGTCTGAAGTTGCCTTTGTAAGTAATTTGCTGAATTCTGGGATTTCCTTCTGCGAATGCGTATTGGATAAAATATTTTCCATTCATTTTTTTGCGAACTACACCGAAATGTAGGGTACTAAGCTTGTCTGGTGGCCTTCGGCCTTTCACAACAAAATTTTTAGCAAATTTAGCCAAGCGCGGATCTTCAGAACTAACACTGAAGCCGTTCGTAAAGTGGATTCCAAAAGTGCCAAAAAATATGTACAGTCTCTGACCGTCAAACAGTGTTATTTCAACGGCCTCCGAGTTAGATTCTTTGAGGTATGGCATTCCAGTAGTGTCGAAAAACAGAAACCAAACTTGTCTGACCGTACACTGAGGTATCCTACATTCAACAAGCTCCAGTCTACTATCACTCGTGGACTTTATGTGAGGCTCATCTGCCTTATTTTTCGAGACAAAACAGTGCGGCGTCGGCTTGCCCTTTCTTGGACGACAAAGATTTGACTCGAATCCTTTTCCGGTCATACACAGACGTGGTCGTCCATTGTCGTCCTCTTTAAGAGTGGTGAGGGTTCGTCCGTTGTATTTTGGGAACTTTTGCCTCCACTTTGACACAGGATCAACGTAGTCATAAATATCTAAGATCCCATCTCCGTTTCCGTACATACAATCAGAGCATTCTTGTACGCGACAGAATTGTTTCTTATTGGTCGAAGTTGCAATACACCAAGGGCTGTGTTCGTTGGTTGGATTCCTACAGTACCGTTGCTCCTTTTTCAAGTCTAGTTTACGATGATCAACAGAGACGAAGTTCATATTCCAATAATGACATACCACAGGCGGGTTACTTTGAGCCAGGTACGTATTACCTCTGTACTCTCGACCATCGCCAGAGTAACAATCCGTGTTAAACGCCCACTTAAAATGATCGCATGTGTCATCAAAACCCCTCGGCTGGTTAAAGGTGCAAAACTTCGGATCTGTTGGGTATCCTAGTGGAGAGTGCAACCTTGTGACCACCCAAATAATTTGAAATTGTGGTCTCCCCCTTAACATCGCCTCGCAGGAGACAATTAACATCTCAGTTGCCATGGGGAAGCCGCCTTTGCCAATCTTTAGCGTAGACTGGTGCTCCTTGATTTCGCCATCCAAAATGAGACTGGCCGATTCAGTATATGGTCCACCACTTACTTTGTTTATAAGCTCCCACCTAAACTGCGTGAAGCCGGGGATAAAACAGTCCAAAGTTCCATTGTCCACGGTACCTATGAACTCAACATGCCTTATTGCTACAGTTACGTCTGAGTAATATCCATTGATGACTTCTATCTCTTTGTCAAATAAAAGTGGACGAACTACAGATAGTGAAAGATATAGTGGCAAGAAGATAGCGCTTAGCTTCATCCTGGTTTATCTGTCAAGAAAAAGCTTGGCGTGCCACATAATAAAAAACGATAAATCTAAACATACTGAATGTTTAAGGTGCGCGCGCCAAATAATAATAATTGTTACTGTGACGTGAGACAGCGCGAGGAGATGAAGCGCATCCTTAAAGAGAACACTTACACCGCTCGGGATCAAACTTGAGTTTCCTTATGATGATCTTTGACTAAGCGCACCTATCTTTGACTCAATCAACGATTGAAGAAGGCTCGATGAAGTTTTTCAGGGTCAATACCTCCCAAGTTTCAGTATAGACTACGAAGCCATAAGCTGAGATTTAGAAAAATTGCCACCACAATTGTATTAGATAAACTGATGAAGATCGTTCATGACCAGGATTGCAATGACATCTGAGTTGTCATAGCAACGGAATGACGCCATTACCTATTTTACTTGCAGCAGTAATTCTCGGCACTGGGAGTTTTTCTCCCAAAATTGTTCATGGGACCTTTTTTTCTGCAATGGCTGCCTCGATGTTCGTGAATTTTAAGCGAAATCTGTTTGAGCGTTATCGAAATATTTTGGGATGAAGCTTTTTGGTTATAAATGTGGTAAAAAGTGGAGAATCTTGATATTCGGCTGTTATCTGTAGAAAACGAAGCTAAATCTTTCTCAAAACGTGTGTGAAAGATCATGGAGATACTCTCCAGCCGATTGCTAGAAAAAAGGATTTGATTAGTATGTATCGAGGCACTCTTGTTCGCGGTTTTGTGAAACCGCTCGATAGATTTTTTTTAACTAAAGCGGGAATAATTCCGAGCAAACAGTGTAGTTGGGAAGCTAAGAAACAAAGTGTACACTTTTTTGGTGTCGGTAGCAAAAGTCTAACCATGGGCTATAGGAAACATGGATTTCGACTTTATAAAATTTAAATTTTTCAAGAGAACGCTTGGTTACCAAGTTTTAATGAATGCAGATAGAGTTCTGAATCAAAACAAAGTGTGTTTCCAGGATCTCCATAAGAAATATAAGGCCAGAATTGACCAGAAACAACAAAAGACTACTTCAGTGTAAGTAATTCAACTTCATCAAATATAAATTAAACGTTTATAAAGTCAAAACCCGTGTTTCCTACAGCCGCTGATCTAAAGAAGCCATCGCCCAGAATGATATTGTCTTTCGGGAGATGTACTCACAGTGCCCAGTTCTTCAGCGGGTCTACTAATAACGAACTAAAGAAGACCTCGTATTTTTCATCAAGACTAATTTATAAGAAGAATAAAGTCAATGGACAAAGACTTTTCTCGACGATTAGATATGAATAGGATAGCCACCCTATCTATCTAGCCACCCTACGCCTCAAATAGATAACTTATGGGTGAAAAAAAATTGCAGAAGGCGTAGGGTACGCTGATAGGAAAACTATGCCAGCAACGCTGAAGTGGAGGAGAGCAAGGAAACTTCCTCACATCTTTAGTGAGTACACTTGCGAGAAGAGAGTGGATTTGTTTGCAAGGGCGTAGAAGTGCAGTGCATTACAAGAGAGCAGGTCTGAGTTACACAGTTGATTTAATCGACATGCATTGCGGCAGCCATTACGCGAATTAGAATCGGTAAGCAGCCCGAAATAACAATTAAAGTCCGCAAAAATTGTATTTTACTTTTTTGCTTTCGTACTGTATGTTTTTACTTCTTTTTCTTCTATTTTCTGTTCCCTTTGGGCTGTATTTTAACTAGTAGAGGCCACCAAATTAGTTAATCAAAACGAGGCACAAGAATTATTTCAAAAGTTGCAAATAAAAAAAATGAATTCGAAAAACTGTTAAGCCAACAAATTTTCAAAAAAATAATTGTTCACAAATGCAATTCCGTTTTCAATCTTCTTCGAGTTTGTCCATCCGTGCTTTCTTTGGTATTTCATTGTTGTGTTCAGAGTTTATACCTTCTTGTAACGTTTAGAGTGGTAACATCTGTTTCACTCAATTTGGCTGCAGGTCCCTCTGTTTGAATTTTGATAACTGCTAATAAATTTACAATTAGCCTGTTCCAAGCGTTCAGATAGTGGAGAGCGGTGCGGAGTAAAGAAAGCGATGAAAAGTAGAGGGGACTGGGGAGAGAGGTGCGGGAACGCTTGTAAGAATTTTTAACAAAAGTGCGTCCCGGTTTACCAGATCCTGGTATACCCGGTGATTGGTTGATTTTGACAGTTTTTGTCAACAGTGAAGCGTCTTCGATCACAGCGAGAAATGCGATATGGCCGTTATGACAGACTCTACGTCTCGTCACGCAGAATTCAAACTCGCAACAAACACATCGCTACGTGGAGGCTAAACGCGAAGAGCAAAGAAACTGTTTAAAACACGTAGTCGGCAGGATAGATGTCTTCGCAATTTCCCACCGGATGGCTTTGGAAAAATTCTTATTTTCCAGCTTTTTCCTCGAATAAAGCGTGCGTTGGAATGAAGGCAGGATAGAATGCCATTTACGATTGTTGTGGTAACTCCGTTGATTGCCATCATGGAAGACCAAGTGGAACATTTGAACAAAATCGGAGTAGCGGCGGCAATGATGGCGGAAGATATGGATGAAGCCGTTAAAAGTGGAAGCTGTGAAATTGTTTACTGAAGTGCCAAATCGTGGTTGTCTAAGGAATGGACAAAAGGACTTCAAAAAGGAAAGCTTGGAAAGCAAGTTGCAGCTATCGCTATTGACGAGGCCCACTCAATCACCGAATAGTAAATTTTCCCTTCAATTGTTGTGCATTTTCATTGCTTGAGTTAATGATCTGTATTGAAACGGCTTTCTTTCGAAATGAGCGATATATGTTTGCACGTACACGCTGAAATCATGTTTTAAAGCCGTAAATAAATTCATTATAAGTACATGAATACTTCTCCCGCCTTCTATTGTATGAAAGTCTTACATTGGGTTTTTAGTTAGATTATGTATACATAATATTAATTTTTGATCTGACAAACTTCGATTTATTCGCAAGAAAAATAATAAATGCATCGGGCTGTAACACCAGTGTTGATTGACAAGTCAAGACCACCTACAGCTGATGCGGTCTGTGTGGGCGGAAGAGTCTATTTAAAACAAATCTAACAGGCGTTCCCTCTCTCACCTCTCCCCCTCCCTCGCTTTTATTTTTTCGCGCTCCTTTTTACTTCGCACCGCTCCCCACTATCTGAACGCCTGGAACAGGCTAATTTACAATTAAAAGGAAAAATATGATTATCCGGCTAAACCCTGACGTCTCAGTAGCCTTGCTCGCGCCTTTTTTAAACACGGAAAACAACAAGTAAATTGACAATAGTTTAAATTCTTCCAAAGTTTTATTTGTGATTTAGTATTATACAAGGTATGCTGCCATTTTCAACTTGTTTAAAGTATCGAACATGTTAACTAGTTCAATTTGTATTATTTAATTAAACGTATCCAAGGGTGCAAGGTGCAACTTATTTTGCAACAAATGCATGAATTTAAATCATGTATGGTACCATGTACATGTTGTAGTTAATTTTTTATTTCAGGTAATTTTTGTTTTTCTTTTGTTTTTGGGTATGGTAATATATGCTGATGAAGTTGAAACAAAAGGAAAATAAAAATTACTTGAGATAAAAAATTAACTACAACATATACAAACGGTGCTTAAACTGGTAATGATCAAAAGAACTATTATAACGTCAGGTGTACAAGTTTGTTCCCTACTACTACTTAACTACCAATCCCTGCCTTTATTTTTTTTTTTTTTCTTTTTGACCCACATTCTAATGGCGCATTCTCGTCGCGCGCACCGTTAACTTACCGGGCTTTTCTTGGGTTTATAATAGTTTTGCAACAAGTGTTTAAAGCAAAATAGATAACCGGAGAAACCATCGGTTAGAAAGAGTTTCAAAAGAATGTTAGGCGCGCTATTTCGAATTTTAGTGGAAGTAGAGAAGCAGATGACAAGCAGCTCCTGCAACAACCTGCCCGTGTTAAATGCGTGGTACTTTTTAAGCGACGTAACGAGTCGCACAAGGCGAATGATTACCGCTTTCTCACATTTTTTTCGCCGTAAGTCAAACCAAAAACGATAACGTTATCCACTGAATAAATCTTAATCCTATGGATAGCGGATTTGGCTTTCCTAATACTTATCCGCTGGATAGTGATTCATCCGGTGGATAGGGCTATCCAACTTTTGAGCAACCGGTGCCTGGTCGACTCAATAACTTGACATAGTGATAAGGGGACTTGATGATGAATATCTGAAAGAGGCATGGTTATATATTTAAAGATTTTAACTTGCTAAGTGTACTGTACGTTATGTGCATATTAAGCCAATCTAGCCTCCAGGCAAACGTCTTTTGAGATGACGTGTACACGCAGGCGAAAGCTAATCGCACGGGTATTTTGTTTTACAAGATAGGGTTGAAAATATTACGCATTAACATTAGAAACTACCTTAAGCTTCACTGTCGAACTGTAGCGATGAACTGTAGCTACCAGCTTCTTCGACAAAAATAGAGGTACAATTATCTACAATCCCCACATGCATGTGATGATGAGCAGGGATACCAGCAACCTGAATACTTGACATATCACTTGGGAGTGGTGTTGACGTTTTAATGGAAAAATCATTTCTCTCTTCTTGAAAATTGTCATTCATGGTCCCACCAAGTTCCGATCCGAAGGTTTCGATGCTTCCTATACTTTGACTTTCTGTGATTGAAGGTGAGAGCCTGGCAGCTCTGGAAGATGCTGTGTAGTTGTAGTTATCTGTACTTAAGGAGGTAATGGGCTGTATTTGCCCTTCCCTTTCCACTTCACTGTGCCCCTCTGCTTCTTGGCGGTGTTCTTCTTCCTGCTCTTCCTTTTTTTCATAATCTTCTTCAATTTCATCCATCAGTTCTTCTTCTTCTTCTTCTTTATCGCTTCCAGATTCTTCACATTTACTTTTACTGGCATACTCATTCACCGTGATGAGCTTCGCTTTCATTACATCCTCATCAGAATTTTGGTCTTCCGTCTCCGAATCCTCAGACTCTTCGTTATCTGACATTCCGGAAGAGCTTGCACCGATCTGTGATGACTGCCGTCGCAACCTAGACGCAACAAGCATTCTACATAACTCGTTCTCGGAATAATTTTCCACAATTTTGTTCATTGCCTCCACGCCATCGCACAAGTCGTTTTCCATGATATCATCATCTGCGTTTAACACCATTGACATTACCATGCTCTTCTTCGCTGACCACGAGTCCCGTTCAAACCATTTTATCTGTCGCACATCTTCTGCACACAAGTTTCGCATAAAGAACATCGTTGTGTCCGCCTTTTCTTCTATGCTTTGCACTTTCTTTTCCAATTCGCTCTTTGGCCAGCTGTACTCAGGGCGAATGGGCGGCTCAACAAACAATCCCATGAAGGCCTTAATACGGTTACCCATAAACTGTAAGATTTCATAGTCGTTGGATTGTTTCAGAGCATCTGCACGAACATCAGTAAAACACTCGCAGAGAATTCCAATGAAAACGTTTATGATTATAAACTGAAAAGTTATCATAAAGGTAAAAAAGACGGCTGGCCCAATGAAGCGGTTGACGTATACTAAGTCATAAAACTCAAAGTTTCCGAGTACCATTGACATCATGGAGACCATGCATCGTATTATCGTACGGTAATCTTCAAGTACAGGCCCAAACACCAGAAATACCAGGAAACAGTAGGCCAAGAAAATGACGAGGAACATGACCATGAAACTCCCCAGCTTGATTGAACTTGCTTTTATTGTAGCAGATAAGACTGAGATTTTCCTGTTAAACCTTAACAGTCGCAAAAATTTTAGATTTAATAGTAAAACGGCCAGCGCAATTGCGATGTTCACACCTTCATTCAGTAGTACAACGTATTGAAAACTGACGAATTTTGAACGATTTTCGCGTACCTGGTTGATGGCAGAGTCGAGGAACACTAAGCGCATAAAATATAGAACCACAGATGTTAGACAAAGGCCTGTCAGAGAAATGTCAACAATGTTCCATACGTTTTTCCAAAACGCTTTTCTTTCCTTCCACAGTTTCTTCCCGTCTCGTAAAACCCATCGGAAAAACAGAAAAGCAAAAATTACCTCACATGCCATCAAAGCGGCTGAAAAGTTTCCAATGTACCTGTAAACTCTAATGGCTTGGATATTAACAAAGGTCTCCCCACCGCCAGTAGGTAACTCTTCGTACAATAACGTTACCACGCAAAGGAGATTGACGTAGACATTATATATACTTAATTCGGTGAAAAGGGCTCTCGTGTATCTATCAACCCAGCCATTTTCTTCTAGGTTTATCAGCTGCTCCGTTGCATTGACGTTATCTGGAGCAAGTTCGACAATAAAACCTCCTCCACGATAGGAAGCAATTTTCCCCATATAAGGACAACTGCTGGCTTCCATCACGCTTTGATAATGCCATGGTGATGTGAAACGCTCATTGTCTGCAACTTCGTCACTCTGGTTAACGATTGACAAATGAGACCACCCTTCACTGAAGTCGCCTCTTTCCTCTTCTGCCCAAGAATAAAAGTCATTGCATTCTTTTATGTACATGGAAAAAGCCTCTGGAACGTGACACGTATCTGAGAAAGAAATTAAATTGTTTTTTTCATATTTTGTAAGCAAACATTAGTATGAATCTGTAAGGGGCTGTTTACATGATATCAAAATGAACTGTCATTGGGAACGATTTCACTCCATGTTCCCGTTCAAGCCAGTCCGGAATAAGTTCATCCCGGTTTCCATTCAGAATAAAATTCTCATTTCGGTACGAAAATTCATTCTGCTATCGTAAAGCCCTGTTAGGGCTTTTCGGTATGAGGGATAACTGGACAAATAATTTTAGGGATAAGGAATAATTGACAAAATAATTTTTTTGGATAAGGGATAAGTAAAATGTTTAAATGATAATGAAATTACGTCCTGGTGCTACAATAATTATTATTGGTTCGCACTTTTTCACTTCTCCGCTATTTTTTTTGTCTTTACCACCTGTGCAGTACTACCAACCTCACTCTGGAATGAAACTCATTCCAAACTGAAGGTCATTCGGGATATATACAGCCCCTAACCAAAGGTCACTCGTCGACTCCGTCTATATTTTCCTTGGTAAATGCCAAAAAACGTTCAATTGTAACTGTTAACACATCTTAAGAGTAAAAGACTAAAACAGTAACAAGAGTTACTTAAAAGAAACAAAAAGCAAAAACAGAAACGTTATTGTAAAAAGCAGGAATAACTAGCACTAGTGAGGTACTTTAGATAATGATAGAAAGAATATAAATTATATGAATGTAACTACGTAATTAACCTTTTTTAATTCTTAGCTGTCGAATGCGACCAATGCCCAAGACGTTAGAGGCTTGTCCTTTGTCCATAATCCCTACATATGGGTACTCTTCCCATGTGCTCGAGGGGAATAGGCTTGGAATTAAGCTGTCAATTGACCACCTCCAAAACCAATTTTTTGAATTTAACTGAAACAGATAAGAGATATGCGTTATAAGACCTTTTCATGTGAGGTAGGTGTATAGGTAAGGAAGAGTCTTGTTAACAGCCGAGGATAGAACCTTGTATAAAGCAGATATTTTATTTGCCTAACTAAACCATTCTACTTCCTTCCAAGCAATTGCTAGACTCACCGATTTGTTCACATTTGCACGTTTCGGATTTTTACTCTTTTGCAAGAGTCTCCTTTTGAGATTGGTGGCGTATTGCCATAACCCAGAATGACGCGACAAATACTATAAGCGCACTCCGAGCGCCAAGTTACGGTGGCTGGAAGTTTTCACGTTTCGCTGTCGTCCTAGGTAACTGTGGTTGTGCTGGTCAAGTTTTCTTTGTGGATAGGAGGAAAACATTAATTTTAAAATAGCTTAAAGCCGCAAAACGGAAGTAACCAAATCTTACTTATCACATCCAATTCGAATTCCAGAAACACATTTGCCTTACCATCTCAAACGGTATATGCTTTGGACCACCATCCACCAAGATATTCTTAACCTCATTATTCATGTTGAAAGCCCTTCGGTCGTGGTTACCATAGGCAACTATAAGCACTACGCAAACAACCAGGATATGAGTTATAATCTCCTTGATTATGGCCTTCATTTCACACTGTTTCAATCTTAATTTTCTGGCAGCTTCCAATTTCTTCGCGGTCGGTGGTTTATTATCAAGGCCTAACCTGAAAACATAACAAATAATTATTTATCCTCAAAACTCCTCTTTGAATTAAAGGTTGCTGGTTGTACGTTTTGGTAACAGCTTATTTTACTAGCTAGGGCACGATAAGAGTTATCAGAATAAAGCTACAAATACTTGCCTTTCTAAAGAAGAGTTTCTATCATTTTCTCATTTGCTAGTAACGATACACCCCAAAGTATAAACAGCAGTTATTATTCATTCAAGATATTTCCCCAATTCTGATTGGCTAAAAGCACACGCATAATTCACCATAAGCAGTTACTGATGACCGAATTTGGAAGAATTTTGTCTTCAACGAGGAAATGGCGTCAATAATGCAGCACGCTACAGGTTAAGGCACCGTTACCGAGAAGACCTGGGGACGAGGTTGAGTAGTTTTGGTTGTGAAAACAAAAATGGCGGACACTTCACTCGTTTCATAAGTAAGAACTACAGCTGGAACTAGGCGAAATAATAGCTAAAAAAAATGGCAAAAACAGCAAGAAGACCACTCGGAGGGCGACATCTGCTATTTGGAGAATATTTGCGGAGCTGGACAAATCTAAATGTACACTATCGAAGATGAACTTAACATCGATGCAGGTAAGCATGCTTTTGCTATGTTTTTAAAGTTGGAGTTATTTTGAATGAATAATAAAGCAATTAATGAATTCGGCTTTCGTAGGATATGAAGAATTAAGCAGATCTCGGAGGGTGTATCCACCTCGGCCGTCGGCCTCGGTGGATAACACCCCACGAGATCTGCTTAATTCTTCATATCCCACTCAGCCTCGTCCATTAATTACTAATTATTCAGTACTGAAATGAACCATAGGGCCCCCTGATCTCACTGGCTTCTCGTAGGAAAACTAGGGTTGCTTATTCAGATAAGAGTGGTCAATCTCTGGGATCGAAGCGCTTATTAACAATTTTTGCTTTAGCTGGGGAAATTTGGAAAACCTTTGGAAGGAAATCTGCAAGCACTAGCAGTTTGAGATAACTGGAATTGGCCTAACGGAGAAAGAAGATTTTCCTGATAGAGGGCTGGGGACCGTGCTTTGTCCCGTGGAGCCCTCATTTGCTCTTTACTTGTGTACAACTGATTCGGGAGAGGGAGCGTGCTCGAAGCTATACGATGTTGGTTACCTTTCAGCGTTGTCCTTCTCCGGCTTATCAGCAGTCATTAACTCTTCATCTGCTTTCAATGAAGGGTCCGGGACATTGTCTTGTTCCTGTTCTTCTTCTTTGTTAGGGTCTTTGATGATCAACGCAAAGAAAGCTGCAATAAGAAGCACTTTGAATGGCTGAATAACTAAAATGGATTGGAAAAATGACACCAACATAGATGTTAGCCACTTCAGGGACTTCTCCTTTCCAAACATAAGACCATAAAAGATGCAAAATGTTCCAGCGACAAGCGAAGATAAAATAACAAGCATGTAAGCAATGTATATACACCAGTGGGGAAACAGAAATCGCTTCTTTGCTTTATTCTGAGCCTCCTCCGATTCATCGTCCCTCTTGAAAAGTGACAAGATATTCCTCCAGCTAGAGCTAGCATTCTTCTTACTGCTCTCCTCTTCCACCTTACAAACTTCTTGAGAACTCTCACGTGCGATACTACTGCTGGATGAAGGCCTTGTTGTCTCTTCTATCTCTTCATATCTTTTGGACTTGCTTTTGACCTCTTTTGGTTTTAACTTGCGAAAAATCGTAACGATGATCATATTTACTGGCAATACCACGAAGCTACTCTGTATTCCAATAATAATTTGTCGTACACTGAAAATAAAAGGACCTATGTTTATTGATTGGCTGCCACTTGAACTATCATCTGCACCAACTTGATAGAACATTAAATTGGCCAGCATCGTGGTAAGTATCAAAGAAAGGCAACAAGAGAGACGTTGCACACGAGTGAATGTGCTCTTAGGAGGGCGTGTGAACACTGACAGCCACAGATGTCCATCGAGGAGGTTTTTCCTTGTTGCGTTTGCAAACAAGATATTAAATTTTGTGAGGTCTTCCTTTGATGCTAAATAAAGTCTACGATCAACAGTACCATCGTCTTCCTCGACAGCAAGCCATCGGTCGCAGACAAACCACCACTTTGCATCCGTTTGTAAATCACGAATGAGGACCCGAAATAAATACCAGGCCGGATGTTTTCCAGAATTGTTGTGCCAGACATGGATCTCCTTTATTTTTCCAAGGGACTGCGGCATGGTTAGCAGAAACTGATCTATTTCTCCTCTTCCGAATTTCGGGCGCTTCGGGTCTTTTAACATACGGGGTTCACTGTCGCCTAAACTGCCAATCAATTGAATAAACACATCAGCGGTGGTTCTTCTTCTTTGCTTGAAGCCAGTCTGCAGTGTAATTTCGTAGGCGTAGGTATCACGAGGATCATTCGACAATAACGGAGTTACACCAACCTGTAATAAAACAACCAGAAATTAAATTTTAATTTCTCTTACTGCTCAATACGTGAATAGGACTTCAGGCTCAGACAAGAGTAAAATCCTCAGACTTGTCGAATATTCTACTCGAGGTTTCTATCTTGCACGGCTTTTAGCGTTTGCGAAGTCCTTCGCTTGGCTTGTCTGTCGCGTTGAGAAACCTCTGCAGCAAGCCGCTTGTGGTCTCCGTTGAGCATTTTCTTGAGACGCCACCAAAATCTTGGAGGTAGACACGTGATTAACAGGTTTTAAAACCGGTTTCAACCAGTTGAACAACTCACGCGCATTAATATTGGACCGATTGCTATGCAAGCCGGAGCCCGCGTGAGTCTTTCTCCTGCGACTCGCGTTTCAACGAAGCGTTTAGCCTGCGTCGCAAGCATTTTCGTTTGGTTTAGGAGTAAAGAAAGACCGAGGAAAGGGATTTTCGGTTTTAGCCGCACTAGGAGAAAGAATGAAAAAGGGGGAGTCCAAGGGGCGTAAACAAACCAACCACGCGACAGACAAGCCTCGCGAAAGAGACCTCGTAAACGCTAAAAGCAATGCAAGAGAGAAAACCCGAATATTCGGGTGTTGTTCACATAAATGACTTTCATTTGATTTCTCTCTCAAAAATGAAAAAAAAAACAATCAAAACCCTGAGATACCTTTTCCAAGTCCTTTATATCTCGCCATCGTGCCCAAATCACGCCGACAAAATACAAACCAAATATGGTGAGAACTGTTGCAAATACCAAAGGATTCGATGAAAGGTCGCTAAATGCCTCAAAAACAGCGTCAAAGTCGATTGGATTTGGAGCAACGAAGAAGCCGCCACCAAAATTCGTCAAGTGAGTGCAGCGACACACTGTCATGTCGAAAGTAGTCTCAGGGCCAACCTTTGGTAAACAGCAGTTAACAAAACATTGAACTAGAGTGCTTGAATTCTTAACTAAATCAGAGGATTGGAATCTTCATCTTAGCCTAAAAGACTAAGGCAAGCAAGCAAGACGAGGGCGTCTGCCAAAACTAATGTTAGCAATACTTTCTTTTCTGATCTGTTCACAAAGTAACAAATAACGCCGGTGAGTAAAATTCGAAATGTTTGGATTTAGATTAGATGGGACGAGTCCTATCCTAGTGTAGTTTTTCTTTAAATTCCAAATTCCTTTTTTGGGGGGATTTTGTTAAGGAAACACTCTCCTAGATATAGATACAATAATAAATATATTTTCACATCATAAGTACTCTTAATGACCACATGGGGCTTGTAATAATGCGGCCTGTTTAATCACGAAGTTTACCTCACAACCATGTGCTGTCCACTTCTCCTCATCTTCGTCCCAAAAATTGCAACTTGAAAGGAAAGAAAACAAAGTGTACCCCAGCTCTGCACATTCTTCACTTTCCCCTGGAATATCCTCATCTTCCACGTACAAACCCAAATAGAAAATTCCAGACTTTTTGGGTAGACTACCCAGTTCCAAATTAGACACAGATAAGGAAAATCCCTCTTTCCAGTCCAAAACACCAGGAACAACATCCATGGTCCAGTTAAAGTCGAACTGCTCAGTTGTTGGCCGTTCATCTTGTCGAAGGAACACCCTGAACTTTTGCGTGCAATTCACTGCCAAAGGATGGATCATGGCGTGAATCGAGTGGCTGTAGTCTTGAACAGTGATTTTGTGCGTTTTAATCTTTCCTTTCTCTATGGTAAAATTTTGAGGCTTTGGCGGTTCACTGGCTCCTTGGCGAGGAATAGTTATGAAGATCGGTTCACTCAAGTTTGTTACGCGGATAGGATTTCCATGACAGTCTATGAACTGGAGTCCAAGGCAGTTGCTTTCTACTTCAGATGAGGAACTATCCCAAATAAAAGGGTTATCTTTGGAATTTAACCCCTAAAAAAACAGAAAATAGGATTTTATGTAAGACTGTCAATCATGAGCAACACGCGCGAACCTAACTTTCTGTGCGATTTTAGACTCTTTACTTAAATGGAAAATAGAACTAATAATCCTCTACGGACAGTAACGTCTCTCTCTCTCTTCCAAGCACTGTTATGCACATAAGGTGAAGGATGATGTCATATCGTGTAGTAAAAAGTGAAGAAATAAGGTCCGTATTCCATTTTCTAATGCCCCCCATTTACTTCAAGGATCAAATAATGCTCTAACCAGGCAGATCAGTCTTCACAACTTCACTCACTGTTCACTGTGGATTAGCTCAGTCAGTAGGGCCCTTTATGACGGTAGAGCCGGATGTCGTGTTCGTCGATTCCCGAGGCCGGACCAATAGTCAGGGTCTTAAAAGGGCTTAAAATATCTGAGAAATGGAGGTGCTACCTTCGCCCTTGAGGCGGCTAGACTTTTGTGTGGCTCTGATGACCACGTAAAAGGCGGCCCCGTCTTCATTAGGAGAAATAAAAATAGTGTTCCCCATCAGAACTTTTCATGCTAAATACATCTGCGCTCAAACCACCAACCTTAATTAATTTTTGACAGATTACGATAAGAGGGAACGCTTCCAAAATATCTTTCAAGAGTCCATAACATTAACGTAGACGTCAAACAAATAGGGGCACAATGGCAATAATTCTGTGAAAAATTTCTTCTTTAACCCAATCATTGCTTTGGCCATATTTTTTGGTTTTACCTTAGCTAGGATGTAACAATCTTCTTCATCCCAACTTTCCAAAATTTCCTCCATATTCGACAAAACAAATGATCCCCCAACGATGGAGATAGAAGACCCTGAGAGGCGTTCGACGTGCATTTTCATGACTAATGCGGACAACCGTTCACCTTCGATCACTTGAGGTTCCTGGCCTGTCGCTAGGTCACCTGATAGTGCGTCTAGTACGTCATGGAAAACTTTCATGGCGGTCTTGGTTGTGTTGCGAGCCTTCAAATTTTTGAAAAAAACAAAAAGAAACAAGGTGAAACTATAACGAAAGATTCCCTAAAACTGCAAAATTTTTTGTCTTCGTCCAGTCTTTTCAGTTATTTCCTCAAAAGACATTTTTTTTCTTCTTTTTTTTCATTATTAGCACATAAGTCGTCTGTTCTTTGTACGTTTTCTGACGAATATGTTTCAAGGCGGGTGGCAGATTGTCATATTTTGTTTTCGCCTCAAGTGGAAAGCTGAGGACTTTTCGATAGATGCTGGCGAACCTTTGCAGGCCAGCACACTTTTCTCTACAATAGCGGCGAAAAGCCAAAATTTGTCGGATGTAACTCAGAAGCATGCGCAGTCGATTAATTTTGTATTATCCGGGGTATTCACTCTTGTGCGATGACATCAAGTAATAGACCTTTCCAGATTCTGCTCAGCAACTTTTTAGCAACTTTTAGGATTTTGAAAAACTTTTTTGTCAAAGAGCAACTTCTAGCAACTTTTCGGAAAACTAGCACTTTTTTGGTAACTTTGGGCCATTTTGAACCAAAATGCTGAATAACCCTTTTTTGTAAAATAAACAAGTTAAAATTCTTGGTTAAAATTCTAAACATCTTTCTAGTAAAACTCACATTTTTACTCTTTGAATGGGTATCATGTGGACGTGGTAATTAATTACAAGAATTGGGTTTGGGTAGCCTCAACCTCGTTCCCAGGGCTTTTCTCTTCTAGTGGGGGGCGCCCCCTAAGAGAAGGGAAAAGCCCTGGGAACGAGTTTGTGGTAGCCTGTGGACTGTGTGTAAAAAAAATGGTGGACGCCAGATTGTTACACTTACTGTCTAACTTTTTGTAACTAGCCACTTAGGTTCAACTAACGGTTGCCTAATTTGTTGTAACTAGTTAATACTTAGTTGTACCTTAATGTTGATTTCAAAGCAATTGTTATTAAAATTAGACATGCTGTCTTAAAAATATTCGAGCAACTTTACAAAATTTTTGAGCAACTTTTTAGCATATTTCTCAGCAACTTTTTAGCTTTTTCGGAGCATAATCTGGAAAGGCCTATCACGTAAAACGCACGTGGACGAAATCGAGAGACTTCTAGTAAATTTCCAGTGTACAAGCAGATTATAAACGAGGTGAGTGTTTAGTAATTGATTCTTTCATTTTCTTCATGGCTTTATTTACTTGTGGAAGGATTCATTAATGTCTCAACCAAGAGCGTTTTAGTGATGAATCTTGTCTTGGAAGACGAGAGATTTTCTATACAGCTAATTCAAGAAATCAATGCTAGCTGTGGCTGAAAAATTCTTTACTTACATTTTTGTTAATTTCAGATGTCTCTTCCACGACCTTGAATTAAAAATGGAGTTAAGAATTAATAAGAGGTTTCTTTCTTTGTTGTTGATTGTTTATTCATGCGCTATTGATTAGCTTATGGCAAGTTCTTCAAAAGGTAACCGCCACAGCGTAATGCCAGTTATTGCCGGCCTAACAGACCTCTCCCTTCTACAACCACGCCCTACTCCTATCGAACAGGAGTATGGGTTCTTATAGGGTCCCTCAGACGTTGGAGGCAAGGAGACAAGGTCCATGGCTTAACGTCAATGACCTACTACGTAATCATCTGAACTGAGACAGATATAATACCAGATATTATCATAGTCCCTAGTTTGTGGACCAACAGGGATTTGAACCTGTTGTTTCTCTTGTCGTAAATGGAAATTTTAGTAATAATAATATAATAATGATAATAATAATAATAATTCCTTTATATACCCTCGGCAGTATTTATAGATCTATGCTAGTGGGGCCGAGCAAATAAATGAAACAAATAATTCAAATCAAAGAAACGGGGTTAAGAATCCCAGATGGCCTGAGGCAAACCAGCTGGCTACTTACAAGCGAGGCCAAGGATTTGAACTCGTGACTATCGTGAACAAATCCGGCTAGTGGTCAGAGCGGGACTTGAATTCGGGGCCTCCGAATTGCAAGTCCAGCGCTCTAACCGCTCAGCCACTCTGCCTCCTAGTCCCATCAACGGGTGGTAACAGGCAACCTTAGACTTCAAAAACTCTTCAGAAGATCCTCGCTGATCCCAGCAAAACTGTATTTTGAAGTGCTACCAACTCTATTCCAGCATTTCTGTTTCTCAGGAATTAATTAATTAGTATAATTATAATCATTATTATTATATTTGTCATGGTGGTTATAATTACCCCGTTGTTGATGACGCTACTCGGCTGTTTGGCATTATCGTTTTCATTGACATTGTTTTTGTTACTGATGCTGCTGCTACTTGCCGTTTGGCTATGAAATGAATAAATCTTTCCGACGAGAAGAAAATTGTTTTAGAACTACACATAAACCCAATGCAAAAATGGCTGCTGGATTCATATTATTTTGTTTAAATAAGATTGGCCTGCCTAGCCTCCTTCTTCCGTACAAATTCAAATTCAAAAGAACACATTATCTCAAACTAGGCTGGTCAGGCTGATTCTAATTTAAACAAAAGAATATCAATCCAGCAGCCATTTTTGCATTGGGTACGTGAAGATCAAACTTACATTTAGAGAAGTTTGTTTCGTTTCTTGTGATTGGTCGGCATTTTGCGTTTGTTCTTGTAAAAGCATTGCACGCTTGGCATTTCTCTCTTTTCTATACTTTGACGCACCGAACATGTTACCTAAGATACAAACATCAGTCACAACAAATTTCTTTTATTATTTTGGTTACTTCATTGCTATAAAACATGCACACTTTCTAGTTAAAGGCATGACAATTATTGGGAAGAAGTGAAATACCATCGAGGCATTGAGTAACGAGTTCGGATTTGAAGGTTTTAAGACTACGCGAAAGACCTCAAAGTCATGTAGGTAGCTGCATATCCTTTAAAATTTGATCACAATTTCGCATTTTCAATTCCATAGAATTGTATAAAAGTTCACAATCGTTTACCTTTGCGATTTTATGACAAGAGAGCTTTGCTTCCTGACTGGGTTTTGGTGATAGATCATTTGCGATATTCACTACTTTCACATAGACCATAATGTACCTTCCCCCCCCCCCCCCCCTTCCCCAACCCAAATTTTGCATAACCATCGTTTCCAATTTCTCTGGGGTATTACAGTCGTCCAAAGAGAAATCCAAGACAATGGTAAACCTCGCATCGCACAGCTTTGAAGAACAAAGTTTAAAATGAAGAGTATTTTAATTAAGTACTCAAAGCTATACTACATTTTAGGAACACTTTCTCCTAAAGCGAGGAAGTACTAAACGTTTTTTTGTTATAAGGTATGGCATAAAGTACCTAGGTTTCCCATTACTCCAGCACCCACAGATTCAATTAAGTCAGAAGACTCGCCATTATCCTTTGCCGAAAGTGTCGATACAGCGTTTGAAAGTACGTCAAGCATTTTCGACTGCAATGAGAGAAAAAAAGTTACGAAATAAGTTAAGATTAGAGCTTTAAAGTCGTTCTCATGAGATATTCAACGCATATTTGCTCCTACCCCTGATCGATTTCCCGCTTGCCTTTCCACTACAGGCCCGTAGGACTAAGGTCGTTCTGGGCGATCGGACGGATAGACTTCCCACACTGTCAGAAGAGGACCGCTTAAAATAATCCTGCCTAGGCAGATTTTAAAGTTTACTTATCTCATCTCTATTTGCTTATAACTAACTTAAACTACGTATATTTTCCAATACTTTCCAGTCATCTGCTTCCGAATAAACCTATTTATATGGCATGGCCCTACATATATTACAAATATATGTTATTCAAATGCAATGAAATGTTCATGACCATCTTCTCGACGGTCATGTCCTTGATCCGACCTGGACCCTTTGCAAGAAGTATCACTAGAGTTATTCCAAATGGAGCTTGCAATTGAGTGATGGAAAGTCCGATACATTCCTATTTAAACGGAAATAAGACCAGATTCCTCCGCTTTGGCATTAAGAAAAGTGAGACATTCTCAGTTATCTCCGAACGTAAACGTTCTGCTAAAAATTGCATGATTGTACTATTCCATTAACATCATGTGAATGCGAAAAAATTGCAAGCGCATTGCGCCTCCTTAACAACTTCATGAGAGCATAGATGGGTAAAAGCCCCATCAAGCCTAGCCTAGCGCTTCTCCAAATCCACGAAGATACCATCGTGGACTTTGACGTGGTAGTGGATACAACAAGAAAACCTACAGTAACTGTTCCAGATCAGTACAGTTACCATTACGTTGACAAAAAGAACAAGGAACGTCGTAATAATTGCGCTTTCAAACACAAACGACAAGAGAGTGTGGGAACTACAAAGGTTCTTTATTGCTTAGACAAACAAGAGCGTTGTAAACCGATACGAACCGAGGTGAAAAGATAAAACTCCTACGCCTTACTAGAGGGAGGGAGATAGGGCGACAGTTTTTTATTCTACATGAAATTTCTAAGGTTAATACAACTAGAGCTGTTTGGTCCTTTTAAAGAGCCTACGGGCCTAATGCAGTCCGGTATGCTTTTTACTTTCGACAAGATAGATATGAAAAGAGCGTCTTTATAGCTCCTTCTTTCCCTACTTAGGGAACTTTCTTTGTGTTAGAACCTTTGTTTTAGAACTGACCGGCCAGACCATTCCAGTTATAATGAGAATTTCACTTTTAATCAAAACCATCAAGCCAGATCGGTGAAATCCTTGCTTAAAAGCATACACGAAGGAGATGGTGTATTTCAACAAAAACTCTTGCAAAAAAGCATTTTTCATTGTCAAAATAACTGGTCCGCAGCTATGTTTCGGCCGGTCAGTTCTAACTTTTTGCAAGCGCCTTTGGTGTTTCAAAGGATGCTGGACTAGAGCTTAGTACTCATTACTTCCTTCCTTCCTTGCAGCAATTCAATAACTTGAAACCGCATAAACTAGCCTCCCCCTTCCCATCACCAGCTCCTGGTTTTGAATGTTAAGGCCTACAGAGTGGGACTGTGAACATTTGAGACTGTTGTAAGTACGACAAGATTTTTCAGAGTGTGAGCTTGATTGTCATTGGACCATTTTACTACGCTATTTTTAACATTCCCCTTTGCAGATAAAAGTTTCATATTCACCTGTGAAGAAGGTGACAATTCTTCCACGTTATCAGTGGCAACTGCCATTGCTTCTAACAAAACTCCTGCCGTTTCTAAAGATTCTGGTTCTACTGCAGCAAGAGCTCCAAGCATGTATTCTCTCATCTGCAAAAGAAAGAGGTAGTTTGATTAACAACGGGACATTGTGACGTTAAGAATAGAACAACCACTAGTTTACCCGCAAAGCATTGTTCAGAGTTTTTAGGCTCATGTGTAGACAAGAAATCATAATATTTATAAGAAAAGGCAAGCATTGCCATAAGTTTACCAGCTTTCAGTTTGCTTGAATTATAGATGTACCTTCATACGGGACTTTTTTGCATCACTGTCTTCTAAATTTTCGCCTCCACTTCCGCCACTGTCGCTATCACTGTTGTCCGCGCCGTCGCCGCCAAGATCACCACTGCCTTTGTTCAACATTTCCTGTGCGGCCAAGATGTCAAGCACTGACGACGAGGACCTTACGAGCTGCGCAATACCTTGAGTATTTCCAGAAATCAGCATATTTGTTAGTAAACCGTCTTTAGAAGTCAGTACATCAGTCAGTTCTTCTGTGCTTATCACTGATTCGGTCACCTAAGTAGAGATTCAACAAATTCAACACTGATATCAATCACGAATTAAAGTGAATCAACTAATCTAGTCGGAAACCCTTAAGAATAAAGCACAACTGTCGTATTCACGTGAAACCGTCAAGCCATTCTGCTCATAATGCTTAAAAGACAAAAATTCAGATCTTTGGAATTAATTACCACCTTTTTTATTTTATGGCTGCTATCTGCGAGCAGGCAAGATGAAGGGGACCTTGAGCTCTGACTTGGATACCTGAGCCGGCAAGATCGCCCTATCTCGCCTGCTCGAGATTTTCAGCGATTGTTCTGCGAGAAAGTGTTATCTAGGCCATATAATTTAGCTTTTATTTGTTCAAGCTTGTTCGGTAAAGATGGCAGGATGTCACTTTTGTTCCCTTTTGACATCACGGTCCATAAAACCCAAACATAGAATATTTAGAAATATCCAGTCATCTTGGCCTCACACTTGGTCGAAAGAGCATACATCTTCATGGAGTCGTATAACGTAAATCCCCATGAAGCCCCCCTCTCCCCCCCTACCTCTCTCTCCAATAAGACCCCCCTTTTTTAAAGGGAAGAAAGTGAATAAGTCTCCCCTCCCTTCCCTTAATTATTCTTCACTAATCAATGATAGACTGTATTAATCAATCAAGACTGCAAAACGTAGTATGGCCTGATCTGGGATGGCGTATTTGCCAACTGTAAGTTCGGATATGATTCTGATCCTTAGCTGCATGACCTCCACTCTTCTTGTACTTGAGCTTTTCCACTTTGTATTCTAGTTTTTTTACGGAGAACTGATACCATATTTACGGTATATAGAAATCTACTTACCGAAACGGTGACCTCTTCCTCGCCAAAACTGTGATACTTATCGACAATCCTCACCGTTAACGTGTAGGTATAGTTATTAAGAGGATTCCCCATTGGTAACAATATTGGGGACAACGTTGGTTCATTATAATGCAGTAAGAGTTCATATCCATGGTACACTTGGTAACGAACATAGCCATCTTCGTCTCGCCAGCCTTCACACTCGATATAAAAGAAAGTTTTCAGCATTTTTCCCGTTGTAGGAGAGATTGAGCAGTTTCCATTTTTAGGTGGAGTGTTTGTCAAGAAGGTATAGTCACTGCGGCCTTCTGCACCATCTGTAAACAGTACAGGAAAATCAGCACAGAAAAAGAGACAAAACAAAATTGATTTTAAGGAACTACCCTTGAAGAAATTACAGGCACTAACATGGCGAAATCTTTTTAAACGTTTTGTCGCGATCTTACGAGGGTATGAGAACAACTTTCCTGTACTCAATGATAGTTTTTGATATGCAACTACGTAAGATCAGCAAATGACCTTCTAGGCAGCTTTATGAGGAGCCGAAATAAGTAGAGAGCGACTGACTTAAAATTCTTTCGTGAAGACTACTTGGATACATACACATTTTTGAAAAGAAAAAATAATTTAAGTGTTCCTGCTAATTACTGAAGGATCCCGGTTTCTCCTACCATAGAAGGGACTGTCCATTTCTACGTGCTCATCTGAGCCAGTCGAAGGGCTATAGCCGCCCGCTTACTCACAAGAGAAGGCAGCATCTCCATATTTTAGTAGGTCTTAGACCCTGCTTATTGATTATTGTTCGACTCTGGCTGGATCAAGCCCGCGACATTACGCTCTGCTATCCAGTGTTCTACCTACTAAGCTGACTTTAAGGCGGGCGCAGAAGCAGTTGACAGAGTAGTTCTTTCAATACATTTTCGTCACCCGCTTGCTTTACGCCTTTTTTTCGTTGCGATTCCTTTGCAAAAGATTTATTTGTTCACTTATTCATTCATAGCAAAAAAGAAACATTTCGTATAGCGAGAGTCAAATTAGCCTGCGAAAACATCCGTTTCTCCTCGCTCTTCGTCGCTGAGGACGTTTCGCGCGAAGTAACGTCTGCGACTAGGTGACAGAAATTCCATACTGATGACGTAAAATCTGTCCGTTCAGAAGCGCTGATTGGTCGACGGAGCAATTACATTGTTTTAGCTATTGTTTACAAATGACAGACAAAAGGCCAAAAAGGTCAAATGTAAACACGAAGAATCTCTAACAAAACAGTCAATATTTGTGGAATATAGTCTTCTCTAGAAGAAGCATTTGAGTTTTGCTGGAGCTCGTGGGCAGATTAACACACCACTTTACCAAAATCGACCAGAAGACACGCAAAATTAGACAAATTTATATTTGGAACCCCATGACTACCGAATTTATTATGTAAACATTGATTTGCGTCATCAGTATGGAATTTCTGTCACTGAGTCGCAGACGTTCCTCCGCGCGAAACGTCCTCAGCGACGAAGAGCGAGGAGAAACGGATGTTTTCGCAGGCTAGAGTCAAATACGTCGGGATGTATCAAATCACTCATTCGCCAGTCTAAACTTTTTAACGCATGTTCTTTTTCTTCCCTTCCGTTATCTTCTCACCTTCATTCCTCACGATACACGTTAGCCGATAATTCTTGCCTTTAATGAGGGCGTTTTTTCTGAGAGCAATGTTTTCCATATTAATGTTGGTCATTGTTATGCTGCTTAGATCACTGACAGCACTCCACTCCTCTGTTATGTTTCCTTTTATGTACAGATCCCACTGATAGGTAATGTTAGTAAAGCCCTCTTGGTCGCAGTTGCTACAACTACAGCTCGCAGAAAACTGACTTTGAGTGTTCACTTTTTCATCACAATTTTTAATGCACCTACCAAGACAAATAATAATAAATATCTTTTATTTTCATTTATAAAATGTTTTTCGTTTGCAACATTTAAAAGGGCAACAAGTATGAACAAGAAACTGACTGAAAAGACGTACGAAAGCTAAAGGACTTATACAATGAACGCTCGCTGTTATTGATCGTTGCCCATGATCTATCAGAGTAAAGGCCCCAGAGTAAAAACTCTAATTGGTGATTGGTCCCCTTGATTATCTTCAGTCAGTCTTTCTCAGTTTGGCTATTAAAAGAGCCCTACTAAAAGCGTACTGTTAGTCCCTTTAATTTTAAAATACACATAAAAATCATCTTTAAGCAGACCGGGAAGGATCTACCTCAGCAAACTGCAAAATATTTCTTTGTTATCGTATTCGTGTAAAAAAAGCTACAACAAATACAGATTTTTTATATGACCGTCTATTTCAGTGGCGGATCCGACCAAAATGAGGCCCGAAGGGCTGAAAAAATTTTTTCTGGAGGCCGCCCCCTCCCCCGCCTTATCTCAGGGTCTGGATGACCCCCCTCCCCCCCCTCCCTCCCCATTCCTTCCACGGTTCAGTGTCGGATAATATTTAGAGAAACGCTATCTCAGACACACAAGTTAAGTGAAGTATTTCAAAAGAAACTACATGGTCAACAAGTAGAAAGAACAATAATAACAATTCTCACCCAACAACGACTTGAGGTGGTACTCCTTTGACAACTGTTATTGTTTGTTGAAACGAGGCTTGACGATTGTCTTTTTTAATTACCAATTTCACTACATATGTCTCTTCGTCCTTAAGTACTCCAGGACGGACATCCCAAACAGGAGTTGTATAAACAAGCATTCTTGGACCACTTCCCTCACAACCATAATTTACAGAATTCTCAGAAACATTTTCAAAGCTAACCTGGGAAAGGTTGCTCACTCCGATGGGAAAACTTTCATTGTGCCGTCGACAGAACCACGAAAACTGCACCCCAGACAAATTCCCTCCTTTTGTGTCCAAATCTTGTGAGACCGACCCGTCGATTATGATTTTTCTTTGCGAACTAACGGTGCGAAAATTCCCACCTAAAATCATGGCCTTTAGTTTTCCTGGAAGAACGTTGAGATAGCCGTAAGTATGAGAATCTAAAGCGTCAACAAAGTATTTCATCTTAGCTTGCAAAAATAAACAAACAGGTCCAGAGGGTAAAGAATACGATGGTATAGTAAGGCTTGCTTGGCTTAACCGCGTGTTGATTATCACTGGTGTTGAAGCGTTTTCTGTGTGATCACATGACTGATGGTAGACTTTCCACTTGAAGGCTGTTTCATAGGATGTTCTGCACTCTATGATGATTCTCGCATAAATTATTACCTCCTTTTCTTTAGCAATATCACGAGCTGTCCATGGCTCTTTGCCCATTCCCAAAATTATTGGTTTTGGATAACGGCACTCTTTTTCCACGGTAACGGTTCGATGAGACAAACTAACTGAGGAGACTTCATTCCATCCATTAACTGTTACGACATAACTCCGTAGTTCTTTGTAGGTGTGTAAAAAGGATACATATTTCTGAGAGGATATTACGGAATAAGACAATAAGGAGGGGTCTGAAGTGCTGATATTCTCGCTGAAAGTGGCCTTCTCTCCGTCGCCGAAATCAACCTCAATTAAAGTTCTTGTTCCCAACTTATCCCAAGTAAGTGTGAAATTAGTTGGTGTGTTAACAACGTTGGGGGCATCATCGAGTATAGCGAGACCGGAGAGGCTCTCTTGAAGGACTATTCTGGTGGTGTTTGTCAGCTCTCCAAACCGATGCTTTAATGTGACTGTAACAACGAACTCTCCAAGTGAAGTATACGTATGTTCTCCGATAAGGTCATTGGCACCGTCCCCAAAATCAAAGGACGAATTAAGTACTTTGGGATCTCCATCGTGTTTAACATCAAACAATACTGAAAACTCAATAGGAATGGAGTTACCAGATGGAGGAGAAAAAGTTGATGAGGCACCTTCGGAAGATTTTGCGTCGATAAACATAAAAGTGGGAATCCCTTGAATCTCGATATTGACCTCCTTTGACTCAAACGTCACAAGATTTGATACGTTTATCACTACTTTGTATTCTCCCGCAACCGAGTACCTGTAGAAAAGAGGAAAAAAGTGAATTACAGTCGAATCAGGTGAAGGTACGCCCTTTGATCCGTTCATTATAATTTGTTCAAGTTCAAGGGATAAAATTCCACATTTATATCAAATTCAAGTAGGATTAGCTGATAACAAAATGTTAAAAAGTGGAACCCGGTCAATACAAGACATTTATTATCATAATATTACAAGTACAATTTTTTGGCACGCAGTTAGCGAGAAAACGCTAGTCGAGGCATGCCAAATTAATTCTATTACAAATAGATATTACATATAATAAGTAAAAACCAAGAAAAAGAAAAGAAGAAATATGTGTAATGAATTCAAAAGCAAGAAAGACATCGTTTTCTTCCGCTTTGCTTTAGGTTTTAGTAGTAGAAATTTAACAGAGATTTACACCGAACTAGAGCTCAAAAATAGCGCGACCTACTCGCTCGAAGGCCATGCGGACACCAAGGGGACATGCCATTGTGTCCATATCATCCTGGCCTCGGTAGTTCAAACGTTGGATAGCGCTATCCTCCTGGCCCCGGTTGTTCAAAGGTTGGATAGCTCTATCCACCGGATAAATCACTATCCAGTGGATAAGTATTAGGGAAACCAATCGCGTTATCCACTGGATAGATTTTTATCCGGTGGATAACGCTATCCAACGTTTGAACAACCGGGGCCAGATAAATCACTATCCAACGGATAAGTATTACGGAAATCAATTACGCTATCCGCTGGATAGTGATTTATCCGGTGGCGATAGCGCGACCTACTCGCTCGAAGGCCATGCGGACACCAAGGGGACATGCCATTGTGTCCATATCATCCTGGCCTCGGTTGTTCAAACGTTGGATAGCGCTATCCACCAGATAAATCACTATCCAACGGATAAGTATTACGGAAATCAATTACGCCATCCGCTGGATAGTGATTTATCCGGTGGATAGCGATATCCAACGTTTGAAAGAGCGGGGCCTGGTGTTCGCTTTAAACGGGCTCTCAGAAAAAAAAAAACCTAAAGGACACATGTTGTGGATATATATAAAAACAAAAGCAGATAAGAGGAAGAAGGGGTAGGAAAAATGACGGTAGAAAAAAGTCAAGAAAGTGAAACATCAAAGGGCACCCAACGTCACTTTTCGGAAAATATCTGTTCGGAACAGTTTTTGTAAAATTTCTTGCTTGCTTGCCTCTTCTAGGATTTTCGAACATCTAAAAATTGGTATAATTGCCCATTTTTAACGGATTTTTACCCTACAAAGGTCACCTAGAATTTTCGGGAGCGGGAGCCTTTTTTCTGGCTGAAATTCTCGAAAAGATAAGTTTTGATTCCTATAATTTCGGATTACTAGGCTTTCAGCTAGGAAATCCGAACATACGAAAAATGTTTAGGGGATAAAAATATGCCTATCTACCGTTTAAATACTAAAATACGTTTAACAAAGCTATTTTTAGGTGGTTTTGAACTATATTCTCGTTGGGTGCCCCTGAAACGTGTGTCGTGTGAGGCAGAAGACTTTTATGAAAGGGCAACAGAACAAGGTCAAACACGAGAAGAAAGACGGAAAAATCAAACAGGTCACGTTATTTTGCCTCTGTTTTTCAACAAATTCGTATCAAACCATAGAAATCTGTCATTATTTGAAAACGATACAATGTCTTCTATAAGCACATGATTGCGACAAAGTGCGCGCATGTAACCGTTGTCCGTATACAGCTATTTCGAGAAAGGTTGTCTGAAAAAATGTGCTGATCAATACGCTGTACCTGGCACTATAGCTGTCGAGTCTTCTATTGTTGCTTTCCTTTAGCATTAGCAAACATACGTCTATGGCCTCTCGTGCCATTCTTTCAAATTTCTTTGAATAACAGTGAACTCAAAACCACCCACAATGCCCTTCGGGATTGTCGCGTGCACTTCTTCCGACAACCTTTCTCGAAATAGCTGTAAACGGTCTTCACTTTTCTCCTCCGTACTTTTCAGATGGAGAGAAGAGACGACCGGGAAGTACTACCGCAGCCTCGTTTTGAAGTTGGCAATTTTATGGTATGCACAGATTTCCAGTCCAAAGCTTTACCCAGCTTGGATCCATATCGCAAATTATTTGTTCCATGGTTCAAGCATGCAGCTGGACTGAAAAGGTTCTCCGTCGACTGATACTTAATGCATCTTAAGAGAGAGATTGAAATACACAGGAAGAGAGAGATTGCACTCCGTAAATAAGTGATAAGTTTGCGGCCACAAATTTTAGTTTTTTAATAGTAGAAGTTGCATTACCTGTGGGACAAATTAAAATCGTTGGTGAAGTCTAGCTTTGGGCTCTCTGTGCCATCACCATATGAACACGTGACAGTAGCATTAGTAGCTAAAATTCCTTGTTGCCTCACTATAATGTCGACTTCGCCAGGTGGAAAAGGCACGATTCTCTCCATGATGATTTCAATTTCCTTAACAGGCTCCTGGACAATCACTGATGTCTCTAGAGAAACATGGCTAAGCGCATTGCTGTAATTCACTTGTGCTTTGAAGACGCCCCGATAATAATGCGTTCTAAATGTAGTACTTACATTTACTGACCCTTGGCTTGGTGTTACTTGCAATATTTGTTGTCCAATGTCTTTCTGGAATGCAATTACCACACTTGAACCTGTTTGGTAATAAAATGTAAATGTGGCATTCGTTCCTGCTTCCACCGCTCCTGGGAAGGGCGAGTCAAGCCAAAACTTTGCTCCAGTGATTGGCGCTTGAATTTCAATAGTTCCGTCAATTTCGGTTGATGAGACCAAATTAAATGCAGTTGCAACAAAAGTTACCAAACCGGCTGTCAAGTTATTCTTTGGAATCACGACAGTAGTAAAGTTCTCAGCTGCTTTTTGAAACTCCCATTTGGCCGATGACGTGATACTATAGGTAACATTAGTCCCATGTATGAATGACATGTTGATTGCCAAATCTTTATGGGAAGGATGGACTTCCTTTGGAAAAGAAATATTAAATCCTATGACGGGCCATTGGGCAACGATGTGAAAGAGCGCCGATGCATTGCTAAGATTGTTCTTAGCAGACGCCTGTACCTTATACACACCAGCACTACTAACGATGTGGCTAATAGCAACAACAAAATTGCTTTTGACATTTATCCCGGTAAGATTGAGCTTCATTGGTTCATCTCCAATAGAGACGTTCAAGTCGACCAAGCTTCCTTGTGCTAGACTAATGACAACAGTGACGTTTTCATTTACCTTGACAGGGTCCAGGGGTGAAATGCTCAGCTTTTTGATAGGAAACAAGATGGTCGGGCGACTGCATTCACTAAGAGCAATTGTAACGCCGTTGAAAGCTATTACTGTTACAGTATGGGGGCCGCTAAATGTATAGTTGTGTACCACAGTCCTTTTGTTGAAAATCTCAGTCTTTTGGTTATCTCCAAAGTCCCAAATATAAGTTACATTCGTTCCGTTTGTAATGTTCAGTCCTAAAGATACTTCTCCTACCAATGCGAACTCGGGAAGATTCAATGTTAGACCTGTAATCTCTCTCTGGTAAGCTACCTCTTGACTTCGAACTTGCTCGTTCCCAAACTTATCTTTAATAGTGGCTAGGACTTGATGGACGGCTATCTTTTCGAGGCTAAATGATACATCTGATGAAGATATCGGGAAAACATAAGCACTCAGGGCAAACGTCAAACCAGATAGAGTATGCTGGAGACCTAACAAACCATCCTTGACTCCTCCATCCACTTCACCCTCATAAATGTGACCTACAGTCTCGGTGGTGTTTCTTAACATTGCAATTTTCCCAGTTTGGTTGCTGCTGAACCAAGCAAGCACGTCCCCAGGGAGAACTTTGATTTTTGTGAAATTATTGGAAAGGTCCACGCTGTGATATCCTGAACTCATGTGCTGGCCTAAAATAATGTCACTGACGATCGTGTAGTTCCGAATGGGATGCAGTCCTTGATCGCTACACACCTGTGCACACGGAGAGCTTGAAATGTGACAAGCGCCTTGTTCCAGGAATAAAATCTTATAATCCGTGCAGTGGATGCGGTTTTGAGGTGAGTTGTTCTGTATTGCGTTCTCAGCATCATTTTCCCTGAAAATCTGCCAAGTAAGATGTCTCGTTATTTAAGTAAATTATTTAAGTTAATTATTACAGTTAGACATGGTTTGGTAGTAATAGAGAGTTTTAGATCCTAGTTTACCGCGAACCTCTAACCGCGGTTTGCGGTTATCCGTTTGCGGTTCGACGTTCAAACTTAGTTCGATTTAGATTGGCGGTGGATTAAAGAAGTGGATTCTGGTTTATTTTTCCATTTAGAAATAGAAGAAAAATCAATCAGTGAAAATAAAAGAAATTTACGGTAACACTGGGTTATCTCGCAGCAAAGAGCTGTAAATTCTTACATTAGGTCTTCTTGCAATTTTACGGCCGCCATTTTGAATCAGCAGCCATGAATGGCACTTGTTTTCAAGATCCAATAGGATTTATCAAATTTAGCATTTCGCCCGAAGTTGTGCCTCTGTTAATGGATAAAGACTTGCTCCACAAGATTTTTGTATCATTACGTGGGATAAAACAAGAATTAGACGCTAAAAGCTTTCAGGTAAATGACATACGTTGAAAACGCACGTCGTAAACCCCAGACGTGACGCGAAAGACTTGTCACGTGGCCTTCAGCGGTTAGAAAGTCGCAGTAAACTTGGATCTAAAACTCTCTAATAACCAAGATTTACGGAGGGTGGGTGACAACGATCGAAAGTAAAAACGCTCTTGCTCCAACGCTGTGCTTTAGAGTACGTTTCACGTGATAGTTGGTCAAATCGCGCGTGATCAGATTACGAGTGATAGAAGGTCCAAACCCAGGTGATCAGATTGTCTTCTGTGCATTCCATCTATTCCTAGTGGAAGTCCAAATGAACAGCTCGCTAGTATGTTCTCAGTACTTTTGCCAAATTGTTAATTCAAAGATAAAAATCACATAAGACCAATTTTGATATTTAAACTGTCCATACGTAGCGCCGAGGTTTGGAGAAGTAAAGCCTCAAGCATCTGAGCCAAATTATTGATCTTTTATAATTCACAATTGTGCAGGGGCTCCTTCATTCTTAGGGCACGTTTACATGGAGGTGGGGGACCCCAGGTAAGTGAGGTAACATGTGGCGGGTTACCCCTCCTATCATGTACACATGATCAAATTAAAATGAGAGATTATATGGACAGGCGGGTTACCCCACCTGAGCGGGTTACGTCACCTGCCTGGGGTCCCTACCCCCATGTAAACAAGCCCTTAATCATGGAATCAACAACACGCACCCTGCTGTCCCCACTGAGCATGCAAGGGAAGTGCAAGTCAGAGGTAATTATATTTTGTTTTCAACAATAAGGTTAGACAAAGCGACCTTCCCATATGAACATTATAAATCGTTGTGTATCTCAAGCGTTCATATAAAGAGTGAGATGGGGACGCCAGGCCGTGTTAGTGTATAAGTGAGCCGACAATACCACCAATGGCCTTTGTTGTTTTGTTGTTAGTGGTGCTCCATTAAAAAACCTAGTCTACTACACCGCCGTTCTTTGTGTCGCCACGCTACGCCCCTCCCTCAACGCTCTCCCGTCCTCTTGGAATGAGCGTTCCGTGAGGACACAAAAGAACGGCTGTGTAGAAGACTTTGCGGAACCGTGGTATTCTGCTTTTTAGTAGCTTTCCTTTGCAGAAAAGCCATAGACGAATCCGTCTAGATCTTATCTTTTTTTCTTCTCGGGCTTACGCCCCAAACTTTGCTCTCAGTCTAACAGAGGTTGACACCAACCTGAATACGAATGGGTCCAGGTTGAAGAACAATAAACTCAAGCACGCCCAGATACCCTTCCTCTTGGAATTTGTTTGCTGTGAGAACATAAGTCCGTTCACTATTTCCTAGTAATGTTTCAAGCATGGAGAGCGTTGATGGCAGATGGCGCGGAAAGTATTCACCAACTTGGGACATCCTCGAACCTAGTATAGTGATAACAATAAAGGAAAATAGATAATAAGTTAGCGAAAGCAGAAAGAGTTCCCTCCAGTAATATAAAACACACCTGTTTTGGAAAACCATCTTTATTTTATGTTTACATGTCTACTTTCAATACAACTAGTAGACGCTCAGTTAGATTGCTTTCAACTTAACTATACATTCCGTTTGCGTAATTATAAAAGCTCTGTTACTAGCACAAACTGATCTCTGCCTGATTGCTTGTGAAGTGCTATTAAGAGACATTTACTCGTAATTTTCCAGAATAGTCGCTTGAAACAGACAGCTTGCAGAAACGTACTGTTAAGCGGACTGCATGATATACTTATCTAGCTAGAGCGCTGTGTATCCTCGTCATTCACGCACTCTCGACTTATAAGGGCTGAGCGATGGCTGAAATATTTCAGGACAAATGTAATTAATTTAATTTAATGTAATTTAACTTCTGTCAGTGGAACGTGAAATGAATTTTTCGCTTCTTGAGAGTGATATTATGCTTATGTACTTCCACATTATCTTGACAACTTGTGGGAACTCGTTTACATCATACCTGCGGTCTCCTGTGATGCAATTGTTTTGTCTTCTACAGTTACAACAGCCACCACGTCCAGTCCTCGCGCAACTTTTGCTTCGCAATGAACCATCCTGCCAACAGGTGATGCTTCGGGGCACTGAAAAATCACTTCAGTGAGGTTATCAGCGATCTCCATGTCTTCACTGAAGCTAAATCGGTTTCCTGTGAAATCCTCTATGGTCATGTTTACCTTGTAATGACCCGGGTTTTTGTAAAAGTAAGTAACAGGAGAGTTGCAGAAAATGAGCTCGTTGCCATCACCAAAATTTATAGTGAACTTCAGCAGCCCCATTTGTTCACTGTTTAAAGTAGCGTTGATTGTAAAAACCTCACCAAGTTGTCTCTGATTACGTGGAAAGCTGACTTTGTTGACTGTAAAATTGTGTTTTGGAATTCGATAATAACGCATGAAAACGCGTGCTTTTTCTCGCTTTGGAATATAAGGCAGGACGCATTCAGTCTGATTTTGAGTTATAACTGACGGAACATTATTTCCACAGAAACACAGCATGCCTGACTGTATAGAGGCGTGACTATATCCCAGATCGGAGCACCTTTTTATGCAAACTGTCTCATCGATTTCTGTATACCCAGCAAGTCCAGAATAGAATATTCCTATATTGGGGTCGCTGACCAGGTAGCATCCTAAGTACAATCTGGAATGGTTCATTGAAGCTGAAAAAGAAGCGTTTGAACAAAGATAAATAGCTGAATATACAATTAACTTCCTCGTAGCCTAAACCTAATCATGAAATGGAACTGTTTTCGAGTCTTGCTGGCTGCGTTAGCTTAAAAACCTAACTTTTGCATTAGCTTTTAATATTACACTATCGCCTCTCATCAAGCAGTTGGCATGGCCTCTTAAGGGGAGGAAATAGACTTCAGGGAATAATGAAGCACCGAGAATTACTATAGAAATAAAACTTGGAGAAAAAACTTCCGCGAACGATTTTGGAAGAAGAGTTCCCGGCACTGAGGAAATACGGCTGCGAAAAGTAAAATAGGTAATGGCGTCATTTCGTTGCTATGACAACTCCAATGTCATTGTAACCTTGATCATAACAAATTTTCATCTTTATCTAATACAGCTGTGGTGGTAAGTTTTCCAAATCTTTGTTAATGGTGGCGTAGTTTATCCTGAAACTAGGGGGGTACTGACCCTGAAAAACCTCATCGAGCCACCTTAAAACAAAACGGTGTGGGAGTACAGCAAGGACAGGTAATAACATAAACTGGACATCCATGTGATGCAGGGGATATAAATGTAAATTACATCACTGATAAACAAACTGACGTATTTATTAAGACATCTTCGAATAGGTTTGAAGTTGAAGTCACTGAGAAAGGGAATGATAGGGCATGAACGGTCATTAGTGTCACAAATTGGGCAACAAAGTAATAATCAAAACTTCAATTACAACTTACCCAGTGAAGGCATGGGATGCGTTTCTGTGAAACACATAATACTTGCACTTAGTTGAAGGATAGGATTTAATTACTGTAGAACATTTTTTAATCATTATAATTTATTATTATTATTATTATTATTATTATTATTATTATTATTATTATTATTATTGCAAAAAAGCAAGAGAGCTACGCCACAACAATTTCATGGGTCAGGGCGAAAGTGTCCTTTGCAATTTTGCGGAGGCGCACCTATGCCTAAGGGGATCGAGAACCCCGAGAAGGAGGAACTTAGATGTTAAGGACAGGGATCTAGAAATAGAGAAGGGTCAAGCTGGACTTCCCTAGACTTAACCGCTATAGATGTTTTATAAATTGTCTTTATTTTACTTTTTTTTTTTTTAAACAGTTGAAAGAATCTTTTGAATTCTAGAGGCTGACAGTTTTTTTTTTTAATGAAATGAAATGTTTTTAATTCGAATAAATTTTTCCAAGTTAAATTAACTCTTTCTAAGCTAAATTAAGTGCTTTTTAAATCGACAGGAATTGTAAATAGTTTTTTCTTTTTTTCAAGCTAATTAATTGTAAATAGGATTTTAACAGTTAGCATTGTTGTCATTAAAATTTTTTCGTGATTAAAAAATTTTTAAAAAAAATATTATTATTATTATTATTATTATTATTATTATTATTATTATTGTTGTTGTAGTCGTTGTTGTTGTTTTGTTATGGTTAATAACATAGTTCACTGTAAGCTAGAAGCTAGAAGTCAATATGGGCATCTGGTCACTTCCGCGCGCCCGGCTACCTACAATGGAGGACAAAAGAACTTGGGACTGTGTGAAAAAGCCCTTCCAAGCAATTGTTACGTAGAACCCTGCTCCTAAGGACAATTTTTTTGTTCGGCTTTGGGTTCATCCCGTCGTTTCCCCACTCCCCCTAGCTCAATCCAAAACACGTCGTTCAAATAATCACTTAGTTCCTTTTGGGTAAACTGAATGTCCACGGCGAATACCCCCGTTTGGCAAGGTATCCGTAACTCTTTGGCGTGACAGACGGATCAGCTGCAGCGTATAGAAAGCATTTTACTAAAAAGCTACACTTTAACAGTTCTAATGGAAACGTTTTCCTATATTTTTGTAGTGAAAGATGACGAAAAATTCATTTTATCGCTGTAAATCAATCTCAGACAATGGAGGACAAAAGAACTTGGGACTGTGTGAAAAAGCCCTTCCAAGCAATTGTTACGTAGAACCCTGCTCCTAAGGACAATTTTTTTGTTCGGCTTTGGGTTCATCCCGTCGTTTCCCCACTCCCCCTAGCAATGTTGTGGCCAAAAAAGCACTCATTCTCACCCATTTTGCTCCAAATTCAACTTTGTTTGGGGTGGGAGGGGAGGGGTCGCTAGTTTTAGTAATATCACTGGAGAGGTCCCAACACTTTTGACCTCCATTGTCTGAAAACCACTTTGTTTACAAAATTAGACGTTGCTTTGTGAGCTGTTGCACAATGAATACCTTAATGCTGGAATTGATCTTTTGACGACGGTATGATATATTTTTTCAGACCAGAACAGCTATTCTTTTGCTCTAACAGTGCTGGAAATAATCACGACATTAGCCGTAACATCATTAATAGAGCACTTTTCTGTTATATGTTTGCAAAGTTTCTTCTTTGTCTTTGTAAAAAGCAATGTAGCGTCAGTAACACTTTGGGCTACAGTTCCAGACATGCCAAATGGTAGATATTTTATAGTATCTTGAACGTTGATGCCAAAGAAGACAGTGTAACGGAATCTCGAGGTTGCGTTACACTGAGTAGTTGAGCGCCTGTTAACATGTCTCGCATTCAGTTCTCGGCTATTTATGTGAATATATATGTCCTTGGAAATCTGATTTATCATCAAACTGTATCGAAACAGTGATAAAATGTTTGTTTGCGATGAATTATTGCTATTTCCCTGCATAAAACAGAAGCGTTGAGTGATTTACGACAGTTCTCGCCCTGTTATAGTATAAAAATAATGTTTGAAATTTTGTCTATTATTTAGTTAGGGGCGAGAACTGTTAAAAGTAGCCTATTATGCTTAAGACTTTCCAGTACAAGCACGTTTTTTCTCTCAGACTAGATGAGATACAATATGTGAAAGCACATAATTTGCTTATCACTGTTTCAAACGCAGGAAAATAGACTTTTACAGGTGAGAACTGTAGGGCGAGAACTGTGAGAACTGTGGAGTAACGTAAAGTATAGAATAGGTCACGCATAGTAATTTCCGGCAATATCAGGGCAGATATGTTGGGAGCAGTCAACAGAATAATGTTAGGGAAGCAGAAGTCACAGGGAATTATGCTCACCGTTCAATTTGGCTGTTTGATCGCTCAAGTGTAAGACAATCTTCTGAAATTTGTTCATGTCTCCGCGTTCACACGTTGACGCAGAACCTACAGGGCGCACGCTAAGTATATCTGGGCCGGGCCTTACAGAATGTTACAGGTGTAGTTTGTAGGGTATAAAAAAGGTCGTATTCTGGCTTGGCTAAGAAATGCCTTTTGTGTCTTCCAAGTACATCTTCTCAGATAGTAAATATAGGTACTACCAGCATTAAATGCCTTTAAGAGCTCAATCCAAAACACGTCGTTCAAATAATCACTTAGTTCCTTTTGGGTAAACTGAATGTCCACGGCGAATACCCCCGTTTGGCAAGGTATCCGTAACTCTTTGGCGTGACAGACGGATCAGCTGCAGCGTATAGAAAGCATTTTACTAAAAAGCTACACTTTAACAGTTCTAATGGAAACGTTTTCCTATATTTTTGTAGTGAAAGATGACGAAAAATTCATTTTATCGCTGTAAATCAATCTCAGACAATGGAGGACAAAAGAACTTGGGACTGTGTGAAAAAAGCCCTTCCAAGCAATTGTTACGTAGAACCCTGCTCCTAAGGACAATTTTTTGTTCGGCTTTGGGTTCATCCTGTCGTTTCCCCACTCCCCCTAGCAATGTTGTGGCCAAAAAGCACTCATTCTCACCCATTTTGCTCCAAATTCAACTTTGTTTGGGGTGGGAGGGGAGGGGTCGCTAGTTTTAGTAATATCACTGGAGAGGTCCCAACACTTTTGACCTCCATTGTCTGAAAACCACTTTGTTTACAAAATTAGACGTTGCTTTGTGAGCTGTTGCACAATGAATACCTTAATGCTGGAATTGATCTTTTGACGACGGTATGATATATTTTTTCAGACCAGAACAGCTATTCTTTTGCTCTAACAGTGCTGGAAATAATCACGACATTAGCCGTAACATCATTAATAGAGCACTTTTCTGTTATATGTTTGCAAAGTTTCTTCTTTGTCTTTGTAAAAAGCAATGTAGCGTCAGTAACACTTTGGGCTACAGTTCCAGACATGCCAAATGGTAGATATTTTATAGTATCTTGAACGTTGATGCCAAAGAAGACAGTGTAACGGAATCTCGAGGTTGCGTTACACTGAGTAGTTGAGCGCCTGTTAACATGTCTCGCATTCAGTTCTCGGCTATTTATGTGAATATATATGTCCTTGAAATCTGATTTATCATCAAACTGTATCGAAACAGTGATAAAATGTTTGTTTGCGATGAATTATTGCTATTTCCTGCATAAAACAGAAGCGTTGAGTGATTTACGACAGTTCTCGCCCTGTTATAGTATAAAAATAATGTTTGAAATTTTGTCTATTATTTAGTTAGGGGCGAGAACTGTTAAAAGTAGCCTATTATGCTTAAGACTTTCCAGTACAAGCACGTTTTTCTCTCAGACTAGATGAGATACAATATGTGAAAGCACATAATTTGCTTATCACTGTTTCAAACGCAGGAAAATAGACTTTTACAGGTGAGAACTGTAGGGCGAGAACTGTGAGAACTGTGGAGTAACGTAAAGTATAGAATAGGTCACGCATAGTAATTTCCGGCAATATCAGGGCAGATATGTTGGGAGCAGTCAACAGAATAATGTTAGGGAAGCAGAAGTCACAGGGAATTATGCTCACCGTTCAATTTGGCTGTTTGATCGCCCAAGTGTAAGACAATCTTCTGAAATTTGTTCATGTCTCCGCGTTCACACGTTGACGCAGAACCTACAGGGCGCACGCTAAGTATATCTGGGCCGGGCCTTACAGAATGTTACAGGTGTAGTTTGTAGGGTATAAAAAAGGTCGTATTCTGGCTTGGCTAAGAAATGCCTTTTGTGTCTTCCAAGTACATCTTCTCAGATAGTAAATATAGGTACTACCAGCATTAAATGCCTTTAAGAGCTCAATCCAAAACACGTCGTTCAAATAATCACTTAGTTCCTTTTGGGTAAACTGAATGTCCACGGCGAATACCCCCGTTTGGCAAGGTATCCGTAACTCTTTGGCGTGACAGACGGATCAGCTGCAGCGTATAGAAAGCATTTTACTAAAAAGCTACACTTTAACAGTTCTAATGGAAACGTTTTCCTATATTTTTGTAGTGAAAGATGACGAAAAATTCATTTTATCGCTGTAAATCAATCTCAGACAATGGAGGACAAAAGAACTTGGGACTGTGTGAAAAAGCCCTTCCAAGCAATTGTTACGTAGAACCCTGCTCCTAAGGACAATTTTTTTGTTCGGCTTTGGGTTCATCCCGTCGTTTCCCCACTCCCCCTAGCAATGTTGTGGCCAAAAAAGCACTCATTCTCACCCATTTTGCTCCAAATTCAACTTTGTTTGGGGTGGGAGGGGAGGGGTCGCTAGTTTTAGTAATATCACTGGAGAGGTCCCAACACTTTTGACCTCCATTGTCTGAAAACCACTTTGTTTACAAAATTAGACGTTGCTTTGTGAGCTGTTGCACAATGAATACCTTAATGCTGGAATTGATCTTTTGACGACGGTATGATATATTTTTTCAGACCAGAACAGCTATTCTTTTGCTCTAACAGTGCTGGAAATAATCACGACATTAGCCGTAACATCATTAATAGAGCACTTTTCTGTTATATGTTTGCAAAGTTTCTTCTTTGTCTTTGTAAAAAAGCAATGTAGCGTCAGTAACACTTTGGGCTACAGTTCCAGACATGCCAAATGGTAGATATTTTATAGTATCTTGAACGTTGATGCCAAAGAAGACAGTGTAACGGAATCTCGAGGTTGCGTTACACTGAGTAGTTGAGCGCCTGTTAACATGTCTCGCATTCAGTTCTCGGCTATTTATGTGAATATATATGTCCTTGGAAATCTGATTTATCATCAAACTGTATCGAAACAGTGATAAAATGTTTGTTTGCGATGAATTATTGCTATTTCCTGCATAAAACAGAAGCGTTGAGTGATTTACGACAGTTCTCGCCCTGTTATAGTATAAAAATAATGTTTGAAATTTTGTCTATTATTTAGTTAGGGGCGAGAACTGTTAAAAGTAGCCTATTATGCTTAAGACTTTCCAGTACAAGCACGTTTTTCTCTCAGACTAGATGAGATACAATATGTGAAAGCACATAATTTGCTTATCACTGTTTCAAACGCAGGAAAATAGACTTTTTACAGGTGAGAACTGTAGGGCGAGAACTGTGAGAACTGTGGAGTAACGTAAAGTATAGAATAGGTCACGCATAGTAATTTCCGGCAATATCAGGGCAGATATGTTGGGAGCAGTCAACAGAATAATGTTAGGGAAGCAGAAGTCACAGGGAATTATGCTCACCGTTCAATTTGGCTGTTTGATCGCTCAAGTGTAAGACAATCTTCTGAAATTTGTTCATGTCTCCGCGTTCACACGTTGACGCAGAACCTACAGGGCGCACGCTAAGTATATCTGGGCCGGGCCTTACAGAATGTTACAGGTGTAGTTTGTAGGGTATAAAAAAGGTCGTATTCTGGCTTGGCTAAGAAATGCCTTTTGTGTCTTCCAAGTACATCTTCTCAGATAGTAAATATAGGTACTACCAGCATTAAATGCCTTTAAGAGCTCAATCCAAAACACGTCGTTCAAATAATCACTTAGTTCCTTTTGGGTAAACTGAATGTCCACGGCGAATACCCCCGTTTGGCAAGGTATCCGTAACTCTTTGGCGTGACAGACGGATCAGCTGCAGCGTATAGAAAGCATTTTACTAAAAAGCTACACTTTAACAGTTCTAATGGAAACGTTTTCCTATATTTTTGTAGTGAAAGATGACGAAAAATTCATTTTATCGCTGTAAATCAATCTCAGACAATGGAGGACAAAAGAACTTGGGACTGTGTGAAAAAGCCCTTCCAAGCAATTGTTACGTAGAACCCTGCTCCTAAGGACAATTTTTTTGTTCGGCTTTGGGTTCATCCCGTCGTTTCCCCACTCCCCTAGCAATGTTGTGGCCAAAAAGCACTCATTCTCACCCATTTTGCTCCAAATTCAACTTTGTTTGGGGTGGGAGGGAGGGGTCGCTAGTTTTAGTAATATCACTGGAGAGGTCCCAACACTTTTGACCTCCATTGTCTGAAAACCACTTTGTTTACAAAATTAGACGTTGCTTTGTGAGCTGTTGCACAATGAATACCTTAATGCTGGAATTGATCTTTTGACGACGGTATGATATATTTTTTCAGACCAGAACAGCTATTCTTTTGCTCTAACAGTGCTGGAAATAATCACGACATTAGCCGTAACATCATTAATAGAGCACTTTTCTGTTATATGTTTGCAAAGTTTCTTCTTTGTCTTTGTAAAAAGCAATGTAGCGTCAGTAACACTTTGGGCTACAGTTCCAGACATGCCAAATGGTAGATATTTTATAGTATCTTGAACGTTGATGCCAAAGAAGACAGTGTAACGGAATCTCGAGGTTGCGTTACACTGAGTAGTTGAGCGCCTGTTAACATGTCTCGCATTCAGTTCTCGGCTATTTATGTGAATATATATGTCCTTGGAAATCTGATTTATCATCAAACTGTATCGAAACAGTGATAAAATGTTTGTTTGCGATGAATTATTGCTATTTCCCTGCATAAAACAGAAGCGTTGAGTGATTTACGACAGTTCTCGCCCTGTTATAGTATAAAAATAATGTTTGAAATTTTGTCTATTATTTAGTTAGGGGCGAGAACTGTTAAAAGTAGCCTATTATGCTTAAGACTTTCCAGTACAAGCACGTTTTTCTCTCAGACTAGATGAGATACAATATGTGAAAGCACATAATTTGCTTATCACTGTTTCAAACGCAGGAAAATAGACTTTTTACAGGTGAGAACTGTAGGGCGAGAACTGTGAGAACTGTGGAGTAACGTAAAGTATAGAATAGGTCACGCATAGTAATTTCCGGCAATATCAGGGCAGATATGTTGGGAGCAGTCAACAGAATAATGTTAGGGAAGCAGAAGTCACAGGGAATTATGCTCACCGTTCAATTTGGCTGTTTGATCGCTCAAGTGTAAGACAATCTTCTGAAATTTGTTCATGTCTCCGCGTTCACACGTTGACGCAGAACCTACAGGGCGCACGCTAAGTATATCTGGGCCGGGCCTTACAGAATGTTACAGGTGTAGTTTGTAGGGTATAAAAAAGGTCGTATTCTGGCTTGGCTAAGAAATGCCTTTTGTGTCTTCCAAGTACATCTTCTCAGATAGTAAATATAGGTACTACCAGCATTAAATGCCTTTAAGAGCTCAATCCAAAACACGTCGTTCAAATAATCACTTAGTTCCTTTTGGGTAAACTGAATGTCCACGGCGAATACCCCCGTTTGGCAAGGTATCCGTAACTCTTTGGCGTGACAGACGGATCAGCTGCAGCGTATAGAAAGCATTTTACTAAAAAGCTACACTTTAACAGTTCTAATGGAAACGTTTTCCTATATTTTTGTAGTGAAAGATGACGAAAAATTCATTTTATCGCTGTAAATCAATCTCAGACAATGGAGGACAAAAGAACTTGGGACTGTGTGAAAAAGCCCTTCCAAGCAATTGTTACGTAGAACCCTGCTCCTAAGGACAATTTTTTTGTTCGGCTTTGGGTTCATCCCGTCGTTTCCCCACTCCCCCTAGCAATGTTGTGGCCAAAAAAGCACTCATTCTCACCCATTTTGCTCCAAATTCAACTTTGTTTGGGGTGGGAGGGGAGGGGTCGCTAGTTTTAGTAATATCACTGGAGAGGTCCCAACACTTTTGACCTCCATTGTAGGGTGTCAAGACTGATGATATAATTAAAACCTCCTCAAATAAAACTTCCTCAGTATTAGTATCATTATAACTACTATTATTATTATTATCATTATCATTTTTTGATAAATTTTTTTGAACTAACAGTAATACTTTATAAAAATCTTATAAAAAGCTGCATACAAAACCTCAGTAAAATATTCATAAAAAGGAAAACGTCAATATCAATACAAAATTTCGGCAAAACCCCTTCCCAATTCAAAATTCTAAGAAATCTCAAGCAGTTATAAAAAATCAAGTCAAAAGTCCCAGTGGATGACATAAACGTCAGTGCGCTGATTCTAATAATACGGATAAGTTTCTGGATAAATTTCATTTTTTTTTTTATACGGATAATTTTTCAGTTTTACGACGTTAAAAGCAAAAGAAGAGAAAAGTAAGCTAATCGTCAGGTTGATCGAACAACGTGACATAAGATTAAAACAAGGAACGTAACAATTAATTGGCAAGATCATTGAAACACTCTCGTTACGTCTTTACCTGTTACGAACATCACTAAGCAAAATACACGTCATTATTCATATTATTCATTTCAATTTTAAATGTTCCGACAGTGTATTTTTCATAACGAGCTAATATCGCTGACCAAGAGCCATAATGGCTCTTACGCTGACTAAACTAAGGATTTACGACATTGGCCAAATATATTTGAGGTACATCGTCCAACAATGGATATCGAATTATTGGAGGAATGACATTACAAAGCAGAAAGGCAATGTGAAGCAATGTGAAACTAAAAAGCGCGAAAATAGCGATGTGATTTCCGACGCTTACCGAAGAAGATATAGGTTCATGAAATGTACTGATAAGAAATTAGAAAAAGGATTATATAGAAACCCAAGATTGATTGCGGTTTAAGTAAAATTGAAAGCCGTCGAGGAATAAGGGCGGGCAGCTAAACGCGGACCTTAAAGGGTTTTTTTTCTACTTAATCTTCGGCTTCAGAAAAGAATACCCCGGCCACGATCTGCATAATTTTAACTGATTAAGCTCTGCCTATCCAATGATTCTTTATTTTTATTGTAATGAATGTTGTCACTTACATAGATACTAAAGAGTTTTCTAATTAAGCTTATAGAACTTACGGAACGTTGAACAGAGAGATGCCTCGACATGACCCTCCAGCGTGTCCCCAATGTCTTCTTCATTGATCGACTTTATCCGCAAGAACCTTGTGAATAATTTACGACACAAACATTGCCCTTGGTCTTCTTTTTGCGCTCGAATAATCTGTCGAGAGAAAGCGACGTTTTCAGGCTCAAATATCGATTGATAAAAACAATAAGAAAGCTCTTGGCAAATCTTCCACCCACGATTACTTTGAATTCTGTATCCTGCGGAAACACCCAAAATATGGTCAAAATATGGTCAAAAAATGATCAACTAAGAGGACTTTGAAGTTGAGCAAGATCTAGTACTTGCATTCTGTTTAGCAGGTTTATATCTGTGCTTTACTGATTAGTATTAAATTTCCTAGATTAAAACTTAGCGCTCAAAAGCAACCACGACGAAGAAGGTCAAAAAAGTTGTTTTTATGGGTAAAAAAAAAGCTCTGCAAGTGCGTCACGCTTTTTGGTAAATTTTTTTCACGTTTGGCCCGGGTTGTTCAAACTTAAGATAGCGCTATCCACCGGATAAATAACTATCCAACGGACAAGTATTAGAGAAACCAGTTGTTTTATCCACGGGATAGAGATTTATTCAGTGGATAGCACTATCCATCATCTTTCAAACAACCGAGCCCAGGGAGCTTATGCAACAACGACGGCGTCGACAACGAGAACGGCGGAAAAGTAGTGAGTTATATCAGAAACTCATAAGGGCTTGCAAAACAACAACTTTTCACATGAATCGCGCTATATATATTTTGCACATTTCTTTGCCGTTCTTGCACGACTACGACGCAAAAATTCCTAATTTCACGTCATTGGAGGACGAGGACATAAGACGACAATTGTCTTATTCTTTTTCTGAACCTAGATACAGTGCTTTAGAATTCAACTCCAGAACGATTCTTCAGCATTTGACAATTTGAACGAGATGGAATAAGAACGATGAAATTCGAAAAAGTGCGCATTCACTTAATAGGTCACGTTTACTCCGCCGTCGAGGTTGCTTAATAAATATACGACGTGAAACTTCATAATGCGATGTTTTGTGGAGGACGCGAACATAGAACTGTTTTACCTTGACTCGTTCATCCTCCACATAATCGCTCCAGTGAATTCCATCCAGGCTGTAGTCAACAGTAAAATTCAAAGTAGACAAACTGGAATTCCATTTGAACGCAAAACCAACATACCGAACAAAAAGTGCTTGTTGTAAGTCCATAACCAGACCACGATTTGACGGTTGGAACCTAAGTGTAGCTAAAACATTTTTTCGAAAAGTTTTCCTCGGCAAATCTGAGCTATCTACAAGAAATTAAATGAAATAACATACATATTTAACATTTATTTGACAACGAAAAAAGAAAACGTCAAGAAACATGGCTTAAGGATAATTAGTGTTGTGTCCAGTCGGGGGCACCCAACGTCAATTTTCGGAAAATATCTGTTCGGAAGACGATTTGAGATCTAGAATTTTCGGAACATTTGTTGTAAAATTTGTTTCTTGCCTGCCTCTCCTAGGATTCTCGAACATCTAAAAAATGGAATAATTGCCCATTTTTAACGGATTTTTACCCTAAAAAGGTCACCTAGAATTTTCGGGAGCCTTTTTCCTGGCTGAAATTTTTGATTTTTGAAGGTAAGTTTTGATCCCTATAATTCTCGGATCACTAGTCTTTCAGCTAGGAAATCCGAACAGATGAAAAATTTTTAGGGGAAAAAAATATGCCTATATGTACCGTTTAAATACTAAAATACGTTTAACAATGCTAGTATTGAACTATATTCTCGTTGGGTGCCCCTGTCGAGTAAGTTGATAGATTCGGATCAGTCCTCGTCCACATGTGTCCGGATATTTTTGAAGTAGGCCGAGATTATTTCTCCGTTTTCAAAAAGTACGCATCCAAACGTAATGTATTTAAATCGTCTTTGCGCATCCTCCCGAAAACTCTAAAATGATGCAAATGCGATAGCATCTCTTAAAGGTGATGTCACACGAGACGATTCGCAACGACGATATTTAGCGCTACACAGCGTTGCAACATTGCTGTGTCATTGTTCCGAATGGTTACAACATTGTTCCAGCATTGCAAAGCTGTGTTGCGCTGACTATAGTCGTTGCGAATCTTCCCGTGTAACATCACCTTAAAGACTGACGTGCGCTGTATGATGTAGGACATCATCGCATTCAAAAACCTCCGTTTTCGTCCTTCTAAAAACTATCCAGCATTTCAAAAATCTCCACTATGAAGACCGTTTTCAAAAACTGTTTACATGAGGACCGCGGGGCCTAAAACAGCCTCTAATTCCGTTCCCACCTGGCCTAGGGCAAATCAAGCCAAGTGTGGGCTGAGAAATGAAAGCACTATGAACGCAATACTAATTTTGATTGTTCTTACCCTTAAAACTGTCTGTTGACCACGATTTTAATTGAAATGCTACTGTCACTGATTTTTGGACACATGGAGCCACTGGTGTATAAAGACGCCGCTCACAAATAGGTCTGATGGTCTCGCTTGAGAGACAATCACTGCATGATGTTCCATCGCTTATTTGACTTCCATATTCCAAAGAGAAGGAAGTGGAGTTGCACTGGTAGGTTAACAAATCTGTGAAAATAGAAGAATGTTTAGCCACTGCTGATGTGAAAAAACCTTTAAATTAAGTTGCCTTCGTCGCAGACGCTCTAAATCTTCTGTATAGAGCGTATCCTGTGTAGCATAGCGGTTTTGTAGAGCCGGGCGCAGGAGCGGCGAAGCCGCGAAAGTCGCGCGAGAACGAGCGGCGTTGCTCCCACCCCAATCTCCTCGCGGTTTCTCTGCCGTCACTCGCCTTTATTACTTAGCGCGCCCAACCAAAACCGCCATGCTACGCAGGCTATATAGAGCGTATCGTGTTCGAATAGGGCAGAACTGTCGAAAGTACATACGTCGGCGTTTTTGATTGGCTAGTTTCTTACGCGGTTTGTGCTTAGTCCGATTTGAATTAAGTGTTGACTGGCCATACACGACTAATAGCTCGTGACAAGAGACGGATTGAGCTTGTGATAGTGTGAAACGTGACATTGAGAGTCAGCTTCCACAATAGAGTGTTTCCATGCTTTCGTTTTGCGTAGTTTATGCAGTGCATGGAGTATTCTACACTTTGACTGAGCAATTTTTTTTGCCTCTTTGAGTCTCACATTTAGAGGTTATGAGGCTGGTCTGTTCCATGCATATTGAGTAATTAATTAGTGTGGTTTATGTTTCGGTAAATGTTTTCTGACAGGATTGTCAAGTCAAGTCAAGTCAATCTTTATTTAAACACGGTAAAATCCATCAGGAATTTAAAAAAAATTAAAAATAACCTAACTATCCTAAACAAAATTCAAAACCTGACTACAACTAATCTAACTAAAACCTGTTTTTCATGAATGCCGTGTATAACATTAAAAATGAACATTAACTAATCTTTTAAATTGACTAAGAGATTCGGCTTCTCTCACATGACAGGGTAGGCTGTTCCAGAGAACTGCTCCGCTATAAGTAAAGCTGTTTTTCATGAAATTAGTTCGTGGAAATGGGACAAATAGTTTGTTAACAGAGTCCCTCAGGGAGTAACGCGTTTCATTTCGTTTAACAAACTTAGATGATAAATATTCAGGAACAAGGCCATTTAAAGACTTGTATACCATTATGGATTTCTGTATTTGAAATTGAGTGCTCAAGTCTTTCCAATCGAGTTGTCTAATCAAACGGTTAGCATCAGCATCATAGCTAGAGAAGGTTAAAACGCGAGCGGCACGGTTCTGAAGCTTCTGTAGCCTGTCAAATAATGTTTTACCACAATTACCCCAGACAAGATTGCAATAATCGAAATGAGATTGAATTAGTGAGTTGTATATATAGTGAAGGGTAGGTGGAGGGACAAAAGGTCTAATTCTTTTTTATTGCTCCAATTCCGGAAGCGACCTTTTTTAGATAATTTATCAATGTGTGTTTGCCACCGTAGATTTTCATCAATAAATATTCCAAGCGATTTGACAGAGGAAACGTGTTCTATCGGAACATTATTAATCGAGAGCTCAAGTGGGTTCGACAAAGTACTCAATTTTTGTCTGGAGCCAATTAGCATGAATTCAGTTTTAGAAGTGTTCAAAGTAAGTTTATTGGAAATAAGCCATTTTGTTTAGGTTATCTAAATCGTGACTCAGAGTTAACTGTATTGAATTCACATCAACGCCAGCATAAGTAATGTGGGTGTCATCGGCATACATTCTAGGCTGGCACGAAGTAAAGGCAGTTAGGCAAGTCATTAATATAAATAAGAAAAAAAAAGGGGCCAAGGATTGTTCCTTGCGGTACCCCACATTTAAGAGAGCAGATTCTAGAAAGAGAACCGTTAACAAGACATCGTTGTGTACGATTAGTTAAATACGACCTAAACCAATCAAGAGCTGTACCTTGTATTCCGTAAAGGTTCATTTTAGCTAGAAGGATATCGTGGTCAACGGTGTCGAAAGCCTTTTTAAATCGAGGAAAACCACAGCATTAACATTGCCACGATCAATATTAAAGGCCCAATTATCCGTAGCTTCCAGAAGGGCAGTTGCAGTTGAGTGTAACGAGCGAAAACCCGATTGATGATTAGAAATGATATCTTCATTGGTCAAAAAGTTATACAACTGATCATAAACAATCCTTTCAAACACTTTAGCTATAACGGAAATGACTGAAATAGGTCGATAATTATTCAGATCAGATGGCTCACCTTCCTTGAACAACGGAGTAACTCTAGCACATTTTCAATCATCAGGAAATATACCAGAGACTAAAGATTTATTAAAGAGATCACATAGTGAAACTGAAATAAGATCAGCACATTCACGTACAATTTTAGCAGAAATATTATCAAGACCAGTTGCTTTTAGATCTACATAATTTGTTTAGATGTGAGAAAACAATGCTGCAGTTAGTCGAGGAGAAGCTGAAATTGTTGTTATATATTATTGATATAACTTGAATTATTTTCAGCAGTTAGAGGTATTTCATTAGCAAGTCTGGGCCCAATTGTTGAAAAAAATGGTCATTAAAAGCATCAGAAAGCTCACTAGAATTAGAGATAATGGTATCATTCAATTTCAGTTCTTTCACCGTTGTATTATTCACACGACGGGATGTAAGCTCATTAAAGGTTTGCCACGTTTTTTCGAGGATTACCCTTAGATTGAATAAATGCATTAGAATAATAAGATGCTTTAGAAATTTTGATGTCATTGTTTATTATATTTCGCAACTTTTTGTACCTTTTCCAATCGTGTGGATCATTCGATGTAATTGCTTTTCTTTTGGCAGCATCACGATCACGCATGCCTTTCTTTAATTCTGAATTGATCCAGGGTGCTTTATTTGTTCTAGTACGTTTGATCACGGATGCAGTTTCGTTTTTTCCACAAAACATTTGGATCTTCAGAAACATTAAAGATTTGATCACGGATGCAGTTTCTTTTACCTACGTTGAAGCCTTCAGCTTTTTTATTGTGGCTAAATAACCTTAGTCTCTTTGGTTTTCTCCTAAATGCCTGGACCCGAATAGGTACATACGTGTGGTTTTTTTTTTGGCCGTGAATATTACGATTTCGTACTTTGTTTTGACGCTAGAACTGCTCTTTCATTGTTCACTGTAAACAATCTTTGCCAACTCCCTTCTGTGAATTTTGACACGTCACTGCGCTCAAGCGTCACGCACACGTAAGAATTAGGCCAATTGTGAGGCGCATAAGAAAGCCGTAAGATACCTGCCTATCAGAAACGCTCACATATGTCCTTGCGACTCTGCAGGATATTTGAACGAGCTTTTGTGTGCTAATTCGCAGACGGACTATATTAATGGTTTAGACGAGTGCGTGGGCCGGCTGCAATGCAGGCTATAAATGAAGGTGCTGCACGTGCTTCCGCTGAAGAAGGGATTTAAAAGAAGGTAAAGGCGCACACGAGGCAAAGGCCCAAAACGGCCAGAGCTTATCCCGGTTTCCTTAGCATGAAGCATGCAACGGAGTATTGCTACTCCCACCTGGACGGAATGCTAGTCCATCGCAGGGTTACCGTCCAGCATTATGTCGCCAGTACCCATTTATACATCCGGGTGAAGAGAGACAAAGTGGGGTAAAGTTCCTTGTCTAAGGAAACAACGCGACGGTCGAGGCTTGAACACCGGACCTCCAGATCGGGAGTTCGAGGTGTTAACCACCATGCCACATACGCCTCCACAAAAAAG